TTTAGAATTCAAATTAATTTATGTTTGACTTAAATTTGAATTTGAATCTGAATCAAAATTGGACTACAGGATAAAGGATGATTTTTCTCTTCCTTCCCTATCTGAATTGGCGCCACACACAGGGTTAGGAAACCCTAATATGGCCAGCCACCTTGAAGATAATGGGAAGGGATTTTTGTTCCGAAATTCAAAATTGGAGATAAGGATTTGATTATGTTTTGAAGTTTGACTTCTACTCTTTAAATATGAGAATGATAGAAAATTGTGGACACAATTTTTGAAACATTTATTCAGCCCTAAAAGTTGGTGGCCGAATTTCTCAATAGCAAAAGAGAGAAAAAATATTTTTCTCTAAAAATTCCACATCGTGCATGCGTTGGTGTTTGTGAAAATTTGAGTGTTTAAGAAACCTGTTTTGTCTCACGTGTGCCCACACACACGTCTACATAGAATCAAGGAATTGACGTGGAAGACTTTGGTATTCTAAACACAAAGATTGGAGCAAGGACTGTTCGTGGTCAAATAATTCAAGTTATCATCCGAGTCAGCTTCCAGGTATTTTTCCGGATTGAGTTCTTGATGTAAATTAATGCGATTAATTTATTCGTGCATAAATTAATATAATCTATAGAGTATCTCAAAAGTTTTATGAAAATTTTTGTTATACACGATCCGCCTTTCCCCACGCTTCCGCACCCGAATTCGATTCGGGAACCAACAGCTTTAGCAAAGAGTGCTACCCTACGTAATGAGACATCTGTTCAAAATGTTGATTTGTTTCAGCAATATTTAGCTGATAGGCAAGCCCGTATTATGGCATTAGCCGAGGCTCAGAAAGAGGATCCAACTACAAGTATTGAAATCTGTATGGATTTGCTAAATGGATATAAGGAGTATTTAGACAACAATGCGTATAGTAAGGCAGCGCACCAGTTGGCTGTTGACATTTCCCTTCGGAGGATGTTTGTGAAAATGCCTGCTCATCGTCATATTTCATCGATTTGAAGCCTGTAGTTTAAATGATTTTTGTGTTGTTTTCTTTATTTGTTTCCTCTCGGACGTATGTTTTTTTAAGTATTGTTGAGCATGTACAACAGATTTTCCTCTCAGACTTATGTTTGTTAGACTTTGTTATTTGTTTCTAGTCAGATTGAATTACATTGGAGTTCTTCGTTTGATTAGTTAATGTTATATGGATGTTTGCTTAGTTCCAGTCTTGTTCCTTTTTTAGGTTTATATGGATTCAGATAGTGAGAATGATGCCAGAGCTGTTGACTTTCTCCAGTCATCAGATGATGATGAACAACCATAACATTATATCCAATTATTGATGTCGATTGGAAACAAACGAACTAAGCAACCTCGTCATAATTCTGCGTTAACAGGACGAGAATATGTTTTAGAACAATTACATGGACATCCCAAAAATTTGTTTGAAATGTGTCGTATGCATCGAGACACGTTCGAAGCAATTGTTCAGTTAATTCGAGGCCGCAACCTACTACCTTCTTCAAGTATTTTAACAGAAGAATCTCTAATGATGTTCTTAAGAACGGTTGCTCACTCAGATCGCAATAGAGAGATACAAGATAGATTTTGTCATTCTGGCGAGACAGTACACTAGCATTTTGATAATGTGTTTACCGCATTGTCTGCGTTAGCACCTGAAGTTATAAAACTACCAAATATGAACATTGTCCCCCCAGAGATTCAACACAACCCTAAGTACTGGCCATGGTTTAAGGTACATTCTCACTCTGCTCATAAACTACTAATATGATAAATAATTTTAAATTAATCATAACTCACGCCTTATGTATTTTAAATTAGGATTATATTGGTGCAATAGACGGTACAAACATGATGGTTGTCCCACCTGCACATTAACAGACAGTCTATAGAGGAAGAAGACATTCGTGTACTCAAAATGTAATGGTGGCGTGTATTTTTGATATGCTATTCACTTATGTCAATTCCGGATGGGAATGATCAACTGTTGATTTCAGAGTGTTAATTGAGACTATGAGAGATCCAGATAACCAATTCTTGCCCCCACCCCCAAAAAATATTACGTTGTGGATTCCGGTTACAGCAACACGCAAGGCTTTTCGGCACCATTTCGTGGTCAGAGGTACCATATTCAATAGTTTAGAAACGGTGGCCAACCAACAAGACCACAAGAGTTATTCAATTATTATCACTCTTCACTGCGTAATTGCATAGAGAGGTGCTTTGGGGTCTTGAAAGCAAGGTTTAAAATTCTTAGGCATATGACCAATTATTGGATGCCAACACAAAATGTTATACCAATAGCTTGTTGTGTGATCCACAATTTAATTAAGATACACGCGGGAGATGATCCTCTATTTAGACAATATGAGATCGATTTACCCATAGAAGATATTGAGGGAGAACAAGAATGGCAACAGGGACAACAACATGGTATGGATGCATAAGAAGCAGAAACATCTAAAATGGATGGTCGGCAACAACGTAATTACATGGTTAATTTTAGAGATCATCTAGCTAATCAAATGTGGGATTCGTATCGGCGACAATAATTTAAGCTAAGATTGTAATTTCCATATTTTATTAATTATTAGTGTTTTTATTTGAGATTCAATTATTATTTATTTAATATATTAAATACTATTACATGTTTTTAAAAATGAAACCACCAAACGCAGTTTCAGTTTTTTTTTTAAAACTGAAATCAATCTCTGAATAAAACTACCAAACGCATTTTCAGAAATAATTTAAAAATGAAAATGAAAACGTTTTCATTTCCATTTTCGTACAGAAAACAAAATTATTTTAGAACCAATTCTAAACGCGCCCAATATGTCTAAAAGATTGAAAAAATACTTCTTTGCGAATGCAACACATAGCCGAAGACAACGATTTAATGGATCAATTTCAAAACTTATACATTGACGATGACGCTTCTGATGCCGGGAGTAGTGTAGCAAACAGTTATATATTTTTATTTTTTAAGTATATATAAATTGTAACTGTAAAAATAATACTGCACTCTTTTTTCCTTACTAAGGTTTTATCCCAATGAATTTTTCTTGGTAAGATTTTTAATGAGACAATTATAATTATATAAATAAAGTTTTATTCTGTTAAAATTTTGTAATATTTACTATTTATTATAAATTTCATTTTTTTTTAAAAAATTTATAAATCATGCTCAAATCGAGCCAAGCCGATTCGAGCTGTCCCAGCCCAATTCTATGCCCGTCGGACCTTAAGGTTGGGCTGGACTTATATAAAATTATTTAAGACTGGACCAAACCGGCCCAAATTATACTTTCGGGCCGCCGGCCCGGGCCGAATTTTCAGCTACGTTACTCGGAGAAAAGAAAACCCAATACCCACCCCACAGGCAAAGCAGGGCCGCCATCTTCTCAACAGCTCTGCCGCCGCTGCCGCACCACCTTCACGTCCGATTCAGTCCGGCCAAACTCTGACAACCGTACTCCTCCGCCGTGGGCGGGGCCCACTCGACCTCCTCTCACTTCCTCAAGCTCGACGAACCTTGTTTCTGTACTTCCTCAAGCTTTGCTTTTGGTCGTCGGCTCGTCGATGGAGATTAAGTCGCTGAGTTTTCCGGCAGATAGCCCACCTCTCTCTGTCATCACCGCGGCCAAGATTGCCGCCCTCCCTTTCACCGCCGACCCCTCCGCCGCCCCCGAATCACCTCCATCTTTTCTCTTCTCTAATGGGTATTCCTCCTTCTCTGCATTTTTTTGTTTTCTGTTTTTATTTTATAAAACTGCTCGCTTAGCTGCTGTTATTGGGATTTTTTTTTTTTCAGTTTCTTAGATACTCTAATTTTTGGGTCGTTGTTTTGTTATGGTAAATTTACTTTGTTTTTACGTGAAGCCAATAAACAAAACATAATGAGCACTTATTAGCCTCGCAAATCACACAATTTAGTTACTACTGGTACCTATAATTTTTTTTTTTTTTGAAAATCTGGGATGGATTTATAATAGTTTGCCTTTATTGTTTTGTTGCATTGTGATTTCTAGAATCTTGTTTCGTTGCAAAAACTAGCATTTCAATAATACTTGTAATATTGTATCTTAGGTTGAAATTGGATGGTACTTATGTACTTCTTCGATACATTGGTGGGATTGCAAGCATTCCTGATTTCTATGGGAAGAATGCATATGATGCTGCCCAGGTGAATTTGCCTCACATTATATGATAACTGGTGTTGTTTTCTTTGTTTCGGAATTTAATGTTTTATTCTGTTCTGCTTTCCTAACGCTCATATTATTTCCTTTACTTCTTATTTTTTCAGATTGATGAGTGGCTGGAGTATGCTCCTATCTTTTCTTCGGGTTCTGCATTTGAGAATGCGTGCAAATATGTGGATGATTATTTACGAGGCCGCACTTTTTTGGTCGCTCATTGTTTGACGATTGCGGATATAGCAACCTGGTCGCTTCTTGCAGGTAAAATAGTCATGAGCCTATCTTGCATATTTCTTAATTATTATTATACTTGTCAGACTTGTTTAAAGGTTTCCTTTTTTTTTCTTTGCTTCTTCAGGAACTGGGCAAAGATGGGAAAGTTTGAGGAAGTCAAAGAAGTATCAAAATCTTGTCCGATGGTTCAATTCAATACTAACAGAACACAATAATGTTCTAAGTGACGTCACAGCAACATATGTTGGCAAAAGAGGCACGGGAAAGCCAGTAGCTGCTAAATCAAAAGAGAATCAAGGTGTCAGTCAATCAGCAAAGTCTGTAAATGGAGATGCATCTGGTAAAGCAGTGAGCAAATCTTCTTCATTTGAGGTAGATCTTCCAGATGCCGAGCCTGGAAATGTGAAGTTACGGTTTGCTCCTGAACCCAGCGGCTACCTTCACATTGGACACTCAAAAGCAGCATTGTTGAACAAGTATTTTGCTGAGCGTTATGGAGGAACATTTATCGTGCGGTTTGATGACACAAATCCCGCGAAAGAAAGCAATGAATTCGTGGATAATCTTCTTATTGATATTGATACTTTGGGCATCAAATATGAAACTGTTACATACACTTCAGATTACTTCCCTCAATTGATGGAAATGGCTGAAAGTTTGATTCTCCAGGGCAAAGCATATGTTGACGATACCCCGCGTGAGGAAATGCAGAAACAAAGGATGGATGGAATCGAATCTAAATGTAGAAATAACAGTGTGGAGGAAAATTTAAAATTATGGAAGGAAATGATCACAGGGTCTGAAAGTGGTTTGCGGTGCTGTTTGCGGGGGAAGCTGGATATGCAGGACCCGAACAAATCACTCCGAGATCCAGTGTATTACCGTTGCAACCCAATTCCACATCATAGGATTGGATCCAAGTACAAGATATACCCTACTTATGATTTTGCCTGTCCTTTTGTTGATTCCATAGAGGGTATAACGCATGCTCTACGATCCAGTGAGTACCATGATCGCAATGCACAGTACTATCGAATTCAAGAGGATATGGGTCTGAGAAAGGTTCATATTTATGAATTCAGCCGATTGAATATGGTTTATACTCTTCTGAGCAAGCGTAAGCTTCTATGGTTTGTCCAAAATGGAAAGGTTGATGGATGGGATGACCCGCGATTTCCAACTGTCCAAGGAATTGTGCGTAGGGGTCTGAAGATTGAAGCACTGATACAGTTTATTCTTGAGCAGGTTAGTTAATTGTCTGATAATGCTTAAAGCCATATTCTTTTGTGAAACCCAACTTGCCTCTCTATGGAATTATTTCTTTCGTGGATTCCTTATAATTTAGCAGACCAAAAGAGTGTAGCATTGTGTAATGTTTCTTTCTCATTGATTTACAACTCTAACTGCAAAGTGACTTCTATGACACACTCAGTCCGACTAATGCTTCTTTATGATCCCTCCTAAGTATGAAACTAAATGCATGTTAGAATTTTGTGAACTTGTTTCGGAGCGACCTTTTTTTTCTTTTATAATTTTTTTTCCATGTTGAGAGTTTTGGCAACTAATCCAAGTTTGTTGTTTCAGGGAGCTTCAAAAAATCTCAATCTCATGGAGTGGGACAAACTTTGGACTATCAACAAGAAGATCATCGACCCTGTATGTCCTAGGCATACTGCTGTTGTTGAAGACCGGCGTGTGTTGTTGACCCTCACTAATGGCCCCGAGCAACCATTTGTACGCGCCATACCTAGGCACAAGAAATATGAAGGTGCTGGAGAGAAGGCTACAACATTTACGAATCGGATTTGGCTTGACCAAGCCGATGCTGAGGTACTGACGGTAGATGAGGAGGTTACATTGATGGACTGGGGTAATACCATTATAAAGGTAATTGAAAAGGATCAAGGAGGAAAAGTGACGCAGTTGACGGGCGTGTTGCATCTCGAGGGATCTGTGAAGACTACAAAGTGGAAGCTTACCTGGCTACCTGAAATAAACGAACTCGTTAACCTCACGCTGATGGAGTTTGATTATCTGATTACGAAGAAGAAGGTATGTAGTAAAGCATACGATCCCTTATTGGAATCATCTTATTGTATTCACAATTATATTTTCATGCATTGGTGATATTTTGCTAGTGTACCCTTCTGCTTGGATGCTTTGTATTCGGTCTGTGACTGTACTCTAATGATTCGTTCTGTTTATCTCTGTTTTGGATACATAATTAAGGAGTTCTTAACAACTAAGACGTGGACTAATGCAAAAGGTTATGACATATGCAACTGAAAAAAGATGCACTTGAGTTGTGTGCTGCACACGTGTTTAGAAGAATTCCGTGTAAAGTGCATAATTTTTGTAGCTGAGCTATGGCGAACTAAACCATTAATTTTGGATTGTCATTGCAGCTTGAAGAAGGGGAAGATTTCCTCGACGTGCTTAATCCATGCACGAAAAAGGAGACAGCAGCCATTGGAGATGCCAACATGAGGAAACTCAAGCGCGGGGAGATACTGCAGCTTGAGAGGAAAGGGTACTTCCGATGTGATGTACCCTACCTCAGGCCTTCAAAGCCTATCGTTCTGTTTGCGATTCCAGATGGCCGACAGCAAACCAGTTTGAAGTAAAAAAAAAAAAAAACCCATTTCCATTCTACTCACTTTAAAGAACTTCATTTTCAAGTATACTACTGATTAACGTTGTTGTTTAAAACCTTCTACTTAAATAACAGATTTCTGAATTATAAACTTTTGTATCAGTAGCTTTTGAGCTTTCGTTGCACTTTTTTTTTTTCCCCCTCCTCTATTCATCTGTTCTAGTTTGTTGTTGTTTTTTTATTATTATTTATTTTATTTTATTTTTATAACAGTGTATTGTACATCTGTGCGGACTTAAGGGTTGATACGAATGTAATAACTAGGACAATAGCTAGCTCTATCTATCACTTTTCTATTGTTGATATCGATCTAATAGTTTGTTTTAAGGGTTAGTCTCATAGAAGAAGATTTCAAAGACTCAACGAGGCTAGGTTATTTCTAATTTATTTGTACATGAAAATATCATATACCATTCGGACCCTCGCACGATTTCTTTCTCAGATCTACTTGATCTATGGTGGTGCTGTAGCAATCTCTGCTGCGGCATCTTCTACTCCGGCAACGTCCATTTGGCGGCAGCGGCGGAGGCATAAAACTAGAGTTGGGGATTTGGCTTTCAGAGAGGAGGACTAGTGAGGGGGAGGATGAGATAAGGGTAAAATCGCAAATGGAGAAATAATTAATATGCTCTTTATTTTTAATGTTTTAAAATGTTTATTTTTAAAGCTTTAAAATATATTTTCTACACGTTTGTTTCATGGGTTTAAATTACTTCTCAAACTTTTTTATTATAGTATTTTCTCACAAAATTTAAATTTATGTTTAAACTTATAAACTAAACAGGCTCATTATCTACTTCAAATGGTTTAACAAGAAATGCTATATGGTATAATTTCCCGTAAAAATGTCTAGCTAAAAATATACAAATCCTACGTAAGGGAACGCAAAAATATTCATATTGTCTTCAACCAAGGCCAAAGGTGTATGTATCTAATAAAATTAATTTCAATGAAATAATCGGATGAAAATTTGAAAATTGTGTTAAATTAATCATCTATATTAATTTGATTATCCATAAAATTTGTCTACTTTTTACCCAAAAAAAAAAAGAATAAATATTAAACGTGACAAGATGAGAATCACCATTATTAAATGAAAAAAGCATAATGTTTGAATTTGAAATAGTTGTCGCCCCGCCACTATTTAACGTGCATAATATGTTTTAGAAAAAAGTATGGAATTTGTGTGTAAATTTTAATTCAAAAATACCGAAGTACATGTATAAGTATTGTACATTGCATGTCAAGTTAGTTGCTAACTAGGATCCAACAGAGCTAAATCGAAGGAGTGCATTTCGAAGTCTTATAATCACTATCAATGATTCAATATGAACAGGGGGGACTTTGTGTGCCTTTTAAAGAAGAAAAAGCCCTCAAGCCCGCAATGCCTTGTGAAAGAAGAGAGAAAAAGGAGTCTTCCAGGGTCGTCTTAGGCGTACTGTGTCCAATTTCTCTACTAATAACCTTCTTAGCTGATCATCTCAAAATTTCTTTTTAAATGTCATACTTTGAGAGAGTTGGTTTTTTTATGGATTCTAAGCTGGAAAATTTCTGAAAACTCCTGGATCAAAGATTTGTGAGCAACATCAATCAGCTCGCGATCATTCAGATAACGTACATTTGCTCCTCCACATTCTATGATCGACTGAGACTCTTCAAGAAGCCCTTTGATACTTCCGACTTGCCGGTCTCGTATCCCACATGGGACTATACGCTCAAAAGGGGTTAAATCCGTGGTGACATTCAGCGCCAGGCCATGATATGTTATCCACTGAGTTACCCTGATCCCAATTGCAGCCAATTTCTGGTTGCCTGAGGAAACAAAATAAACAAATAAAAGCTGTTGACAAAAGGACAGTCCAAATTATAAATAAATGATGTTAACACAAGGAACGTCAAAATTAAACTGTTAATGCAAACTTTCTACACCGATTTTTTTGAAACAACAGAATAACACAAGGGTACAATGGTAAAGTATGATGTGGAAAAGGTCGTTTGCTTGGGGAAAAAAAGGAAGAAGAACTTCATGGGGAAGAAAGAAAGAGTATGGGTTTAAGCTGCCGATCCATTTTGGTCCTTAGTCACAAATTGAAATTCAGTCATATTTTGTATCCACTTTGCTAGTCCGCTACGCAACCACGTCCCATTTAACAATAGTTATGATTTGCAGCATCCAAGTGTCCACTTTTATTTTTAGTTTTTTTATTTTATCATAAAAAGAACTTTGAGATCAATAATGAAATCAATGTCCCATACATGAGATTCCGTTAGGCGGCTTGGGATTGGAAAGACCATTTGGGCTTGCTCAAGAGTTAAATTATTGCATAACAACTTAAAGTCTCAAGTGACTATGATTTGTTAGTTTATTGCGAGTGTTGGGGGTGGTGTGGGGCGCGGGTGCGGGTGGTGGGAGGTGGTTGGTGGTTGGTGGGGCTGTGGTGGTGCCAGGGGGAAAGAGGGACGAGCACGTCATTAATGGTTAGCAAAAAGTGTGAGAACAAGACATATCCTACAAAGTATACAAACTTCAGTAGGAGAAACGAGGAAGTAGCATACCGACCCAGACTCCAGTTAAACCATCAAGTCGAGAAGCCTTGATCGAAAATGTTTTATCAAGAACACGGATGACCACCTCCTCCAGTGCCCTGAGGTACCAATGAAGATCCATCTTGTGATTCCGAAGATTTATAATTGGGTACATAACAAGCTACATTTACAGCACAAACAAAAGAAAGTGACTCATCTATCAAATACATCTGTGACAAATCACCCATGGTAAACAATTCACTTCCATGCTTAACCTGTTAACCAATTAGCTTCGAAGCTTTTACCACTCAAACAGATGCGAACTACGAATCTTTTACCAATTGCCATACGTCATATTGGACCATGTGTTTGCTTTTAGCAGCCAATTTTCACATTTCAGATTTTATTTTAACAATGAAGATTGTAAAATGAGTTTTACATGGAAACATGGTTCCCAACAGTAGCATTAATAGACGATATTTTGATCACTTTAGAAGACATCATCAAGCACAATCTAAAGCATAAATACATAAAACTCAATAAAAATACAGCCAAAATGCTAAACATTTACCTGGCCAGGACCATGATATGTCACTTCACCGCCACGTTCCGTTCTATACACTTTGTACGGAGCATCTTCCGGGTCAAAATTAAGGAACTCGTCAGAACTGCCTGTACCCATTGTATAAACAGGGTCATGCTGGAGAACGATCAGAGTGTCGGGACAATCTTCATTCCTTCCAATCAAAGCCTTTTTCTCATTCACAAAGCTCTTTTGCCAAGACCATGCCTTTCCATATGGCACTAGCTCGTTGTACAAATCAAAGCAATCACACCTGCAAGACTTCAGGGATAAATTGGTAAGTTTCATGCAGATAGAACTTAGACCTTGTTCTTTTCACAACTCAAGTTCTTTTGGTACAGTGTTTTCTCTCACAAAAATTCAAATTCAACTTTATTGCTACAATGTTTTCTCTCACATAAAAAGTTTTGAGTCGTGACTTGAGGTGTGAAAAGAACACACCCTTAGGTGCTTTGTTAAAGCGCGTGACAGAAAAAACTTACACTTTCCTTGGTGCAGAAGGTAGAGAAGTGGCTTCTAGAGTCTTGAAGTCTGAAAATCTATTCAAACTAGACAGAACCTTCACAGGGAGGGATTGGTATGGATGTGCCTTTCTTAACCCCTCGTGGTTTGGACACGGTATTGAGCTGGTGATGAAGTGATTCACAGCGAGAAGCATATTTCAATGTTTCTGTTATTTTTTTTGGGAAAAAAACATTAGAGCCACCCTTTGTTTTCAGTATTTCTTCCTTTCTAATGCAGAAAAAGGACTGTTTATTTACTCTAATAATTGCACTCTCTTCTTCTCCCCTATTTTATTCATCTGTTTAGGTTTAGTTGATGATTAATGAACATATACTATTCATGAAATAATTAAATGGAATAGAAATGAGGAGAACAACAGATAAGGACCAAGTCAAATTAGCCAATCTAAATGAAATTAAGGAGAAGGAAAAGACAAAACAAAATTCTTTAAGTACAAATTGGTCAAGAAAGACTGAGCTTAATCCGATACAAGGCCACTAAATCATCACTACAATTCTCTTTTCAAAAATTAGACGCCTGACATTTGCAGCAAATAGAGGACAAAACAAGAGAAGTCCATACCGCTTCCAGTAAATGTCAAAAGAAAAGTAACAAAAACAAAAACTATTAACAAGAAACAGTATCTATACTTTTCCATTGATTTTCTTTTTTTATATATAAGAAAGGAACTTCCATTAATAATGAAAAGAAGTACACCAGAGGACAAGAGGTCCTCACACCAACAAACAAAAAGGGAAAATAAAAACAGCAAGAAAAGCAAGCTGCTAGAAAGAAAACATAGCTATAACGATACGGAATCCCATCCCCTTAAGAGTTCAGAGAATGAAAAAGCCTCAAATTCTTTATCTTGCAAAGTCCACAAAGCAGGCCAGTAAACTATGCGATCCCAGACACCTCCAACATCTAGTTAAATGGGGAACCAAAAAAAGCTTCTACAAACTTTTCAAAGATCCGACTCAATGTACAGCCAATAATTCAAAAGATTAAGCACAATAATTCAACAAGAATCCAAAAAGAAACCCATAGAACATCCGATTCGATGTACAGCCAATAATTCATAAGATTAAGCACAATAAAAACCGCAGAAACAGAAAAAAAGATACAACAATTGCAATAATCACATGAACATGTAATATCGACTAAAAAATTTGGAAATCTTTATGTCCAGAAGCAAGAGAAGGGATGGACCCAGAACCAAAGGAATCAAAACAAATTTAAATTTGACAAATTAAGAGAAGAAGAAACCCCAAAAAAATAAAAAAAAAACAAAAACCTTATGTTGTAACTTAATAATAAATTTCCAAGTTAAAACATCCTCTGGTTGAGTTTTGCTGACTACCTGAAGCAAGAGATCACTGCCCTGCCCTTTTATTAATCTCTAAAGGAAGATATCGACCTAAATGCTTCAAAATAAGTTACCTTTTTTCTTGCACCTTAAGTTCGGCTAACCCACGTTGTTTATTGGTCGGTCCTCGCAAATGTTTTACCTCATGAAATTGTTGAAGTTAATTGTGTTCTCCTTTCTCAAGCAAGTTTTTCTTAATTTGCAGATAATTAGAGCAAGCACTAACAGACAGCCACCATGAAAGCCAAACAGACAATAAAGTACACAAAAAGAAAAAGGGTGTAAATGGAGAATCGCATTAAACCAAGATATTATAATATCTACAAGTATTAACACATCTATGAAGCATCAATACAAGTATCAAAGTCTTCTAAAAGGAAGCAGTAAGAGATAATTCGTAAATGTTGCTTATATCCAAAAAGCACTGAACTCATAACACAAATCTTTCACATGACAATGACATGTCAATTTGGATCATCATTCATCTAATCTATCTAGAATTTACGACTGCTCGCTATTTGCCAACAAAAAAACATTCAGTGAACTCTATGCAGAAATTAACTACTAGAACAAAGCACAACCTCAAAAAGAGAAGTCAATGATATCCTATTATCTCCTTGGCTCAACGAAGGCATCCCTTTTCTCAAAACACACTCGATGTGAAATTTGTACACCGCTGAACTAACCTTATGTTATTAACCCCTCTTAGTTTTAACCGATGCCTTCCCTCTTCATCAATTCAGGTATATAATACTTGTACCACCGTATTCAGAATATCATCGTCCAAGTGTAACAGAATTTGATTAGAATTAAATCCAAACTGCTAAAGCGTCCGGGAAAAAAAATCACTTTGACAATCGTGTTAGTTTATACTTCAAAGGAGTACGGTGATGTTCCATTTTCTATGTATTTTTCTCTTAAGATAAAAATTTAAAATACAAATCATAATTATTCTCAGTCTATGTAATACAAAATGTTTTTTTTTTTTTTTTTTTTTCTAGTTTTTCTTATTTACCAAAGAAGTCACAGACCTACATTTTTAAGTTCCAAGCTTCTAAATAATCACCTACGAGATTCATTGCTTACAAAATTAATTTGTCTATCAACTCTTTCGAGGGTTCCCCATAAGAGGTCAAAAAATTCCCAATCATCTACATAATATCGTAAACCATGGTTTCGAATTCCCAACCTATCTCCATAACAACGCAAGAAACCTTAACATAAAACCTTTGAACACGTAATTGTGTATAATCACAATTCCTAATTTACAATCCTCAATTTTTGCCCCCAAAAACAAAAAACCCAACAGAGATGGAAAAGTTTACCTCCCAACGTAATCCCTAAAGATCTCCCGGGTCCTCTCGCACTTTCTGACGAAGCTTCTGCGCTCAACCTCCTTGGTCTTGCACTGTAACCTGGCCACCGTCGCCGTCAGATCGCGAAACTCACCGTCGCCGCCAGCGATTACTCGGAGTTGTCGGAGTTAGGAGGTGGCTCTAGAGTGTGTCAAAGCGTTTTTTTTTTTTTTTTTACAGAAAGATGTGAAAGCGGTTTTTGGATATTTTGCATCTAAAAAAGGTTACAAGATATTAAAAATGATTTTTTAAAACATCGGGAAATCAAATTAAAATGAGCAAAATACAAAAAATTAAACTAAATTATGTAGGAGGCTTCTTCTTTTAAAATAAAATTAAAAAAAAATTTGAACTCAAGTTATAATTTTATTTAAGTTCATATTTTTTTATAAAATTTGAGTTTAAATTTATATTTTAACTTGAGTTTATGACTAAAATTTGAGTTTAAATTCTCCCTTCAACCCAAGTTCCTAAACTCAAACTCAAGTTAATGAACAATATTTTTTTATTATTAAAAACGTTATAACTTTTTTATTTTAATTCTGATTGAGATGATTTTTTCTATGCGTTCACAGCGAATAGACAAATAAAACTCCACCCATATACCCTATTAAAATTTTTCATCACTATTGAGTTTTTATTAAAATACAATCTAAATACAAATTTAAATTTTGACCCATCCAAACACAAACTTAAATAAATTCTCAATTCAAACCATAACTCAAATGTGCATATTCAAACACAAACTCAAGTTATAATTCAAATTCAACTCAAGATCTATATTCAAGTCACCATAACTCAAAAATGCAACCGAACAAGCCCTTAGTTTGTTGATTTAAATTTTTAATTTGAGTCGAGATGTGACTTTATGTAAAAAAATTTTATTTTAGTAAAAAAAGTTAGATGTGACTATTTCTGAGAGTTTTTTTACTGTAATAAAATTCGAATTATAAACTCGAATCGATAAATGAACGAAGTCGTAAAAACGCCAGATACTAATATGATTTTCCCACTTACTAATATATATAATTAAAAAACTCACGCATTATATCTATTGAATTTTTTTAGATACAACTCCATTAAATTGTAATTAAAATTTTTATAACGTATAGGAAAAAAAAATGGAAGAAAAATGTTACTTATTCAAAATAGTATGCATTTTAATTTTAAGGGTTTGTTCTTTTGCATGATTTGAGTTATGACTTGAGTTGTGTATATGAGAAAAAACACTATAATAAAAAAGTTAAATTTAAATTTTTATAAGAAAAAATAATGTAGTAATATAATTTGAGTTCTGACTTGAGTCATGAAATAAACATGCCATAAGTATTAGCTTGCATGTCTTGGGGCCAATTTGGCATTGCTTTTAGAGATTGCTTTTAGAGATTGCTTTTAATTTTTTTTAAAGAAATTACAGCAACTCAAGGTATTTGGCAATATCTATTTTGTCTAGTAACTTATAAAAACTGCTACTCCACAGCAGAATTTTAGAAGCAGGTTCGAAGTTGTTTTTCCACAACAGCTTTTACTGTCATTGTCTAAATTTATTAAAATGACCCTAATAATAAAACTTAATTCCCAACTAATTCATTTTATTTCTTCCAAATCGAATTAAAGAATATATTTTATTTAGATGCTTATTTTAAAATTAAAAATATTTAATAAATATCTTATGCTACATTTTAGTAATATATTTTTATTATAATATTGCAAGTTTAAAAAATAATTTACCTTCAGTTGTTTACGTTATTTAATTTCTTTATAGATATATAATTTATTTATGTGAATAAAACCAAATTATTTTCTAGAGATATTTTAATTAATAAAGTGAAAATTATAATTTTTTAATATTTTGTTGTATAAATATTATGAATATTGACTATTTTTATATAAATAAAATTAATTATAAGTACGCGCATTACATTATACACCTTCACAGTAATTTTGTACATAATTTACTAGACATTTAAATTTCTGTTTCTGGTATTCACAGTAATTCAAAAAAAAATACTAAACACCTACACGTTTCTAGTCACAATAACTTCTAACTAACAGCACAATAACAGTAAAATTTGTTAACAGCGTAACAATGTCAAATTGACCTTTAATGATAATTGTACAAATGATGCCATGCTACCAAAATATACAGAGTTTGAAGCTCGCATGGCCAATTTTTTTTAAAAAAAGTATGAGTTAATAGTTTAAGTCAAAAGGTTACATTCAATCACGGAAAATACATGAAACATTAAAAATTTAAGATAATAGAATAAAAAATAAATAAAGGACTTGAAACTTGAAAGAGTAAGGGTTTGTTCTTTTAGATCAAAACTTAAAAAAAGTTTGAACTCAAATTATAATTTTATCTAAGTTCATGTTCTTTTGAAAAATTTAAGTTTGAACTTGAGTTTTAACTTGAGTTGGAGTTAAAATCTGAATTCAAATTCTCTTTTCAACTCAAGTTCTTAAACTTAAATTCAATTTAATGAACATTATTTTTTCTATTCTTAAAAACGCCGTAATTTTTTCGTTTTAATTCTGATTGAGATGATTTTTTTCCTATGCGTTCACAATGAAAATATGAATAAAATTCATCCATATACCCTATTAAAATTTTCTATCGCCGTTGAGTTTTTATTAAAATAATATCTAAATACAAATTTAAATTTTGACATACCCAAACACATACTCAAATAGATTCTCAATTCAAACCATACTTCAAATGTGCACATCCAAACACAAACTCAAATTATCACTTCAACTCGAGTTATAACTCAAATTTAACTCAAGATCTACACTCAAATTATATAACTAAAAAATGCAACCGATCAAGCCCTAAAGCACCTAAAAATCACCATTTTGGACAACCACATAATGAATCGTAGCCATTTATCCACTGTTTCATAGAACAAAAGAAAACATAAAGGCATTGTTTATTTCACTGATTTGAGTTTTCAATTTTAATTTTACTACAGTTAAAAGCTCTCATAAAAAGTAACATTTAATTTTTTCTATTACAATTTAAAGTTCTCATATAAAATAGATATAGAGGAAAGAAAGGACAACAAGAAGCGCCAAAATAATGTGTGAAGGACTACAAAAAATTAACAGTATAGCTCTCACCCACTATTTTATATATGGCCCCGTTCATTTCTCTAATTCGAGTTTTGCTACAGTAAAAAGCTCTCATAAACAGTCGCATCTAACTTTTTTGCTACAGTAAAGGCTCTCACATAACATCACATCTCAATTCGAATTAAAAACTCGAATTAGCGAATCGAATGGGTCAATATTTGGATTTAGGATTAGAATTTAATATTAAGATAATAATAGAATTTAGGATTAAAATTAGGATTTAGATTTAAGCTTTAGGATTAAAATGTGTATACCTCCTATATTTAACTACAAAATAATAAGCAATAACCTAAAGAAAAAGAAAAAGAAAAAAAATTAGATCTATAGTATTGTTGTGTAAGGAACTCAATACAAATTAGTTAGAAAAGAGTTTAATTAACATTTTAAAAAATCACCCACGCAATTACATTAATATGTAATAGGATAGAGGATGAATAATATATATAAAAAGGAAAAGGAATGAAGAAAAAGGAAAGGAAAAAAAAAAAGTGAAGCACCGGATACGATGCGTTTTTGACGACTATGGGAAGAATAGTAGAGCCAATATACGCTCTTTTATATATTTAGAATTAGGATTAGGATGTTGATGTAAATTTTCTCTAAACAAAAAGTTTAGGCCGTGTTTAGAATTGATTCTGTTTTTATTTTTCATATTTTTCAAGAAAGAAAAAATAAAAACGTTTTTAAAACGACGTTTGACACAATAAAGATAAAAAACAGAAATGAAAACCATTTTTTGATTTAGTGTAAAATGAGAGAGAAATGAAAAATGATTTTTAATCGTTTTTTATTTTTTATTTTCGTTTTTTCCTCTCTCGAGCAGAGAGAGAGAGAAAGATAGACATTACTAAATTTTTTTACATTAAAAACAATCTCTTGATAAAACTACAAAACACATTTTTAAAAATAATTTATGTATGAGATTGAAAACGTTTTCATTTTTATTTTTAACAAAAAATAAAATCATTTTAAAACGGGTTCTAAACGCACCCTTAGTTTCTTTTATTGATATATTATTCTCTTGGAAGTTAGATATGAATTCATGTTCTCATCAAAAGGTGAATTTTGATTCAACATTATGTAGACATAAATAAATACAACATATTAAGAAAATACATACATTTTGGTCGGCAAATCAAATAGAAAATTAAGTAAGTAGTACACATGAATATAATAGTGAAAATTCACATATGAAAGATAAAAATCATGATTTTTTAAATTATGTCAAGTGCAAACATTGTGTCTAAAATTGTCAATTTAATAATGTTATTAACTATTAAACTTTAATTACAACTTATTTTAATATTTAGAGTGCATCTTGTTAAAGTTAAGAGAATGTTTAGTAGAAAGATTCTCCAACCAAACGTCCTCTAATTGTTTAGGGTTTAAATTGTTAAAAGCGAATAATTTGAAGTAGAAGCGTGTAATTTACATTCAAATAAAAAAAGCAGCGTTCAATTTATTCAAATTTTACACTCAAAGATAGAGGTCACGTGGAAAATGCACGTGCGCATCGTCATGAGTCACGACTCACGTCGATGTTAGTTAAGTGCTAGTAGAGAGGGAGAGCAATGCACCGGGAAAGAGAGAACAAAAAAAAAAAAACAAAAAAACGGAAAAGAAAAAAATCAAAACAACAGAGAGAAAAAGGAGGAGAGAGAGAGAGAGAGAGAAAAAGGGGCGTGGGAAACCCTCCCTCGCAATTCCCAAACCCAAACCCTTTCACATTTGGCGCCCAATTCTCTGCGATTTCACCACCAATCCCAATCCCAATCCCAATCCAAGCTCCATTCATTCTCCCGATCGGATTCCGCCATGACTCAGCCTCCGCCGCCTCCGGCAGTTCCGCCGGGCCCTCCTCCTCTTCTTCCGGGATCCGTCGCGGCAGGCGGCGGCGGAGGCGTTCAGGTGCGGTGCGCCGGATGCCGCTCGATCCTGACGGTGGCGGCGGGTGTTACGGAGTTCGTCTGCCCCACCTGCAAATTGCCCCAAATGCTGCCGCCGGAGCTCATGAGTAGGGCCCACCACCACCAGCAGCCGAAACCCCTGTCCATCGCTCCTCCTCTTACGCCGCCTCTGCCTCTTCCTCCCGCTCCTGCGCCTTCGGTTCCTCCGCCGCCTTCCCACGTGCCGGCGCACGGCATCGATCCGACGAAGATCCAGCTTCCTTGCGCCAACTGCAAGGCCATCCTCAACGTCCCCCACGGCCTCACCAGGTTCAATTGCCCGCAATGCTCCGTTGATCTGGCCGTCGACGTCTCCAAGCTCAAGCACTTCTATCCTCCTCCGCTACCACTTCCGCTTCCGCCTCCTCCGCCTCCCGAGGAGGTCAACGAGGTTCGTTCAATTTCTATTTCATTTATCCTTTTTCGGTCTTTGTACGCCAATTATGCAATCTCTAGGGATTTCAGTTTCTATTAGCGAACAATTCAATCGGCTCTTTTAGGAGGCTTGTTTTGTAGGGGGAGGAGAAAAAAATTGTATAATCTAGGTGAGGACCTCTCTCTTATTGGGTTTTGTACGGAATTATGGAGTCTGTGGTGTTCAATCAATTTTTTTTAAGGATATATTTTAGGCTCAGTTTGGGATCATTGTGCTTTTGAAAGACAACTATATTCTACTTTTAGTAAAAAAGTTTGAGTGTTTCAATGTACATTTATTTTTTGTAATCATAGATGGAACAAGTCTCCAAATTCAAATAGCGGATACTATATATGGACATTTTATTTTAAGAACTTCACCGTTAAGGACTTTGTAAAGTATGATACGAATGTATTTCAGGCTTTGTTCAATAAGTTTTGTTAATCACATTACGAGCACTTGCTATTTTAGATAAGTAGGTACTCTTACTCAAATTATAGTCATATAGAATAGGAACTAAAAGGAAGGGCAGGAAAAAAAAAAGAAGAGGTGGGGCCTTTTCATCTGTCGCCGCGAAAGCTGGGCCCTTCAGCTGCATTGTAGAACATTCAACTTCCTTAGCTTTATGTATCTAAATTACAAGAAGTAAATGAATATGGGGATTCGTTTCTGAATCGCCTGATTTTGGCTTAACCATTATAAGTGTACGCCAGCCATATCTCTGTTGAAATTAAGGCAAAATGAACTAGTTCTATGCTTGGCCTGAGTACTCATAGAACTGCCAACCCACTGTCTAAGGCTATACAAGATGAATTTAAGCTTATAAAACTGTCAGCCATGATATCCTTGTAGTACCTTTCAAGTTTGAGTGAAGCTGAGGAGCTGAGAAGTAGAAGTAGAAGTAGAAGTAGAAGTGCATTAATAATGTTTTTTATTTTTTTATTGAAATGGTCCTCAACATTGACAATACCAAACATCTCCATAAAACCTTGGCCCTCTTGTTGGAGCTGAAACCCCCCATATTGTCCACCATTAGTGACCCTAGAATGGGCAGAAATACTGTTTTTGCATAGTTCACTTTCCATCCCCTTCAGGCTCTTTAACTTGGATCTTATTACTACTACTATTTATATCATTAATGCCAAACATGATGTTAAGAATATGGGAAAAGAAGATTGGACTCGGGCTGTAATTGTGCAAAATATAGTATTGTGAAATATGAGAGAATGAATATGAATTCTCATTGATTGAATGAATAAATTTACTGAGTATTAGAAGACTATATAAGAATACACGCCTAGACTAGAAAGAAAATAATCTATGCCTATTAATCTCATGATTCCAGGGATATCAATAAAAATATTCTACATACTAATTTAGTCATAGTAATCAGGAAACTAATTACAATTTACAGTTGTATTTTCCCACACTCCTTATCAAGTTGGAGAATAGGTGTCTTCCATTCTCAGCTTGGAAATAATCTCATGAAAGGTTGTAGTATTGAGTCCCTTAGTTAAGACGTCTGCCAGTTGATTCCCCGAAGATATGTATGGTGTGCAGATTAGACCACTTTCCAATTTTTCCTTGATGAAGTGTTGGTCTATCTCAGTGTGTTATGTTCTGTCGTGCTGAACATGATTATGAGATGTCTTTTCAATTACTTGTTTGATTACAAAAAACTAATCAGGAAACTAATTACAAAAAATCAATTACAATTTACAACTGTATTTTCCCACATATAGCTTCTAGGCAGCGTTGCCTAAGTACTTGTTTGATTTTAAGTTGGTAGCTTAATGACTTAATTGTCCAAAGCTAATAGGGATATAAGGCCCGGGATGTAATAATTGATAAGAAGGATATGCGTGATGGCTTAATGTCTGGCATCAAATAAAGGTCTGGATTGAAGTCAACACACTAAATGCTTTTGTTTTGAAGAAGTATCTTTTCTTTCGTGCTTACTCATGGAAAATTAATCCTAAAATCCTCTCTAATAAAGTAATAAATAAAACAATGTTTACCTTTTCGGATGATCAATGTTTTAAATCATCTTAGAATTTCTTTTTTCTTTTTTTATTTCATTAATTTATTTTGAGCTTTTGTACAGATTATGCATAGTTGTTATTTCAAAGAGAGAGTAAATAGTCACGTCGTTGGATACATTCCTTTAGTTGATTAGATGTTAAGCAACTGAAAAATCTCTAACTTTTGATATTTGTAAAAATACATCTGTTTCGATGTGTTTTGAAGTTTTGATTAATCTCCTTTTCGAATAGTTTTCTAGACTGCTATTACCTTGCTTTTTTCCCCCCCTCCCTTTTACTTGTTAATTTGTCAGGTAGCCATTGAAGTGGAGCGGGAAGAAGATGAAGGAGGAATGGCGGGAGAAACATTTACAGACTATGTGAGTATCTTATTCTTGAGCCTTTCTGATTGAAGGCTTTTTTTTTTTTGCTTGTTTTTGTTTTATTTTGTTTTTTGTTTGTTTCTTTTTTTTTTTTTAAATGAGGAATTTTCTTTTTACTTTCATGTTTGGACTTGTTAGTTGAAACTCTGGAACTGGCATGTTGAATAAGTTTATGTGGATATGATTTCATGCAGCGCCCTCCAAAACTATCTATAGGACCTTCCCATCCGGATCCTGTTGTGGAGACATCTTCCTTGGCTGCTGTACAGCCACCTGAGCCTACTTATGATCTGGAAATCGGAGATGAATTGGAAATATCCAAGGCTTTATCTTGTTTGCAGATTGAGACATTGGTTTATGCTTGTCAGGTTGCTGCTAATGCCAAACATAAGGTTAACAAGTTCGTATCTGGTTTTATGGAATGATTTAGTTTGTTTCCATGACAGAGACACCTCCAGCGACTACCTAGTGCCGCTAGGGCAGGATTCTTTATTGGAGATGGAGCAGGTGTGGGTAAAGGTCGAACAATTGCAGGGTTAATTTGGGAAAATTGGTATCATGGGAGGAGAAAAGCATTGTAAGTTTTAAGTTGCACCTCTTTTTTCTTTTTTCTTTTTTTTTTTTTTTTTTAATTTCTCTTTCTTAAAATGTATGAGATTTCATTTTTTTCCCATTCAAAATTCTAGACTATGCACACCATCTGGCTTGAATTCACGTTTTCTAACTCCTCTTGTATATTTTTTCTCTCTGTTTCTATTGACTTGGCATAGGTGGATTTCTGTTGGTTCAGACTTGAAGTTTGATGCAAGAAGAGACTTGGATGACGTGGGTGCTACATGTGTTGAAGGTAAAAACTTATTTTTGATCACCTAGACAGATATTTTTATGTGAAATTTATTTGGTTTTCAATTTTTCTGTCAGAAAAGGTTAATTGGATTATGGTAATTTAGAATATTTCTTATAAAGGCTTAGGCCCATAACCATTTAGTTCGCGGATTCAAATTGGGGTGATTTGAACAGTACAATTTGAAAAGTGTTGTTCAAATTGCAATCTGAATTGGTGTTTGGATGTGCATACAGACTATCAATTTGAACAAGAAAGAAAATCTAAATATGTGTTTGGATAGATATTGAAAACGTTCATTTGAAAACTGAATGGTTTTATAACAAATTTAACAAAACCTTAATGCCCATGATAGATTAATAGGGTATAAAGATAAGGTTTTATTCCTCTCTTCGCTCTGAACGCATCGAAAGAAAAATTGTCTCAATCAGAGATGAAACAAAGTAGTTATGACATTTTGAAGCTTTGAGTTTTATAAAGTAGAAGAGAGAAGAAAAAGAGATTCTTTTGAGTTGAAATGGTTTGAATGGTTTGAATTTAGAGGGGGTGGGGGATTGCGTGGACTTTGAGTTGGGGGAATTCATCCGAATTGGAATTCAAATTCGAGTCCGAACAAATAGCAATTTGCACCAAAAAATAACTCGGAGAGGTTTTTTTTTTTGTTTTTTTTGTTTGAGTTGTTAAGACAAATATGCCCTTAGTTTTTCAACTTAGTTTTTGAAGTTGTAAAGTTTTCATTTTTTAATGAAATTAGTATTTAGCGCGCGCATCATTTGAAATAATGGTTATATAATTTTTTTTAAAGAGAAAGAAATGGAAAAAAGGGACGTAAACGAAAGAAACGAAGGCAAAAGCGGGAAAAGATCTGAAGTAAAAGACATGAAAAAATTTAACAAACATTCATGAAAAATTTATTTATAGAACAATTTATAAACAAAAAACAAAGATTAAACAATTTGTAAACAATTTATAGAGAATTTTGTTTTTTTTAAATAAGTTAACAATTTCTTTTGCTTTCATTTTATAACAATTTATTTATTTATTTATTAGCGAATGCTATGTTGACATGTTGTCACTTATTTTGTTGCGGTTTAAATTAATCATATTTTGTTTTGTTAAATTTTTTTAATTTAATAAGTTGTGATTTTATTTTAATTTAGTGTATTTTTGTTAAATTTTATTTTTATATGAATTACTTATAGCATTTTTATCTGCGTAACATCGGAAACTTGGTGTCAAAACAGTGTTAAAATAGATAAAATTGGACTACAAAGCACTCCAGAATAAGCAAATAAATATAATAACTAACAATTAGAAAATAAATAAATTTTATTTTTATCTGAATTATTTATAGCATTTTTATCTGAGTAGTACTAGAAATTTGGTGCAAAAGGGTGTTAAAATGGTCAAAATCGGACTACGAATCACTACAAAATAAATAAATAAATAAAAATAAAATCGGTATTTTTTTCAGGCCGTCGGATCACAAAGATCAATGGCCAAGATTAGCGCGCCAAATTTTTTTCTCCACCCAAAAAAAGTAACGAAACGTTTCGTTACAAACCCCAAAAAAACCCATTTATTCTTAGTTATGTTGTATAGATATAGATTTTCTTAGTTTTCTATCCAAATCCAAAAAAAAAGAGAGAAAAAAATGGTGGAAGCAGAAGATTGAAAGTATTATGGGAAAGACATTGTATTACTTTTCTGATAAAGTATTTAATCATCTTACCAAGGAAAAGTTCCCTCGGTGTATTATGTGCTCTTAACCATGGACTAATCATCCTAAATTGGCTGGATGTTATCGGAAGATGGATTTTCTTGGGTTTTTCTTCATTCTGTTTTTCCTTTTCTATAGTTTTGTCATTATTTTCGTTTTGCCTTGAGGATTCCTCATCCTCTTTCTTAATTGATTATTATCAATGAAAAGGTTTTTTCTTATAAAAAACTGTGGACAAATATGTATTTGTTACTGTTGCAGTTCATGCATTAAACAAGCAGCCATATTCTAAGCTTGATTCAAAGTCGGTTGGCATAAGGGAGGGAGTTGTGTTCTTGACGTACAGCAGCCTCATTGCGTCCTCTGAGAGAGGTCGTTCTCGTATGCAGCAGCTTGTTCAGTGGTGTGGACCACACTTTGATGGTCTCGTTATATTTGATGAGGTATTGCATATTCGTAGGTGATGCAGTGGAATGGAATAGAATAAATGATGAAAAACTCTTTTAAGGAGTTAAGATAGAAAATACTGTAAAATAGCTCTGACTTTTGTAGTAGTAAAAAAAAATTGGACAGAATTACAAAAGTAGGCCTATTTATATGCTGGAAAATCCTACTCTTTTTAGGAATCCTAATCCAAGTTTAAAAAAAAAACCCCTAAATATAAGAATTATAATTATGCTAATTCTGAGGATAAGATAAATATTTTTATTATAAACAACCCGAGAGCAAGATAAAATAAATCCTAATACTAGAAAAACAATCTAAATTAGATCCTTATACAATTCAAACTTGTCCGACATCAATAGGTCTTGCTTTGTATTATATGGTACATCATCATACGTCAATAGGTCTTACCGTATGTTTTCAAGTGGCTTTTTAGCTTTTAAAGGTGAACGTAATAATTCCAGGATTTCAATATATTCTTCTTTATTCATGCCGATGATGAAATGGCTTAATTGCAGTGCCATAAAGCCAAAAATCTGGTACCTGAGGCTGGAAGTCAACCAACACGAACTGGTGAAGCGGTTCTTGAAATTCAGGTTTGTCATTTATGCTGAAATTTCAAACATGTATGCCACCTATGTGGGTTTTGTTTTGTGCGTGTATGCTTTTATTTTTTTCTTCTTCAGAAAACAAACGAATAATGTATATGCAACTCTAGAAGAATAGCATTCTTAAGGTGATGGAAGTTGTTGTACAAGATTAATATCTCATGCAAGTTGCAGCCTAATCAAACTAAACCTTGGCTATTGAGTTAAAATTTGTTAAACTAGTTCTCTTTGGACGTTTAACCTATTCGTGCCCAATTACTTTGATGAGGGAGGCTCATTGTGAGGATAAATTCTTGATTGCATGATTTTTTTTTCTCTGTGCGTCACATGGGTGTACCTCCCTCAGTACTTTAGACAGTAGTATAAATCTGTTTCAGCAATTACTTTCTGTGCCAAAAATGAGATCTTTACCATGGTTAATTTCCCTTTCCTGTACTGCCACTTCTCCATCCCGACACCAACATATTCATATTACTTGAGCGACACACATGGGTCTTTACCTTGTATAATTGCAACAGCAACCAGTTTTCGTCTTGTCCCCAATTGGGGGATTGTAGGCAATTTGTAATGTGTTGTGGCGGAAAACTGGAAGAAAATAACTTGGGATTGTCTTAACTCTGAATGTTTCATTTGTAATATCACAGGCTCGACTTCCTGAAGCTCGTGTTGTTTACTGCTCAGCAACTGGTGCATCGGAACCACGCAATATGGGTTATATGGTCCGTCTTGGCCTTTGGGGACCTGGAACATCTTTCATTGATTTTCGAGACTTTTTAGGTGCAATTTTTTCTTATCTTACTTGCTTCTTGTTCAAATAATTATGTTATTGTGAAAACAGTATTGGAGAGTAAAAAATAGTAATCTCTCTTCGTTGAATAATAAATGTAGAATTACACTCTCATTGTAACCTAGATTAAGAGCTTTGTTCTTGATTTTGGATTCTTTCCTGTCTTTGGTAGACTTTTTGTCCCTCTCCTTGTATTTGACTTTTTATTAGTATAGGCTGTTTCTTATCAAAAAGGAAAAAAAAATTGGAGGTCCTAATAATTCCTATCTTATTCTGATAACTATCCTAATATTCTATAATCTATTATGATAACTAGAATTCAATTTTATTTTTTCGATAATAAAACTTCTTTTCATTGACAAAAGAATCAAATACAAAGTAAAGAGGATTAGGAATCCTCAAAAGCAAAAAGACTAAATACATGTCTTTTTGTCATTTTAGAGCTGGAAATAAATACATGTATTTTGCTCTTTTCTTTCTTCTTTCTTTGAGTTGGAATTATTATTGTTGTAGCTTCTATTTTAGATTTGAGTTTCCATTTTTCTTTTGTTTCCTTTCTGTGTTCTTTCGTTTTGTGCCCGGGTCTATATTTTTTCAAGAAATTGTACACATCTCATTAAAAAAGCAATTAGGCCCTCTATAAGACTTCTGATACAATTTCCGAGTAGATATGCCCTTGAAGGTAAAGTACAGTAGGGATATGAGTTACAGGAGGTTAGTTGATGATGAAATATTGGTTTAAGGAGGTTACCGACAGCAAAGTTTTGTTGAAAGAGTAAGAAACAGAACCTTGTTAAGCTTAAAAGACCGATTATACTTGTACATTTTTGTTTGTTTGTTTATATTCCTTTCCAAGACCTCGAACGTTCATATGCCATAAATTTCATTTGAGAGGTTTTGACAAAACTGAACGCCAAGCAAGGTCTGCCTTGGAACGAACTAGATTCCAGTTCTTCGAATCCAAAGATAAATTAAAATAATATTTGCAAGTTGTAAGACAATGTGCCTTATGAAAGGATCTATCTTGTGGCTGCCTTCGGTTTCTCTCTCACCATAATTTTTACTCGTGCAGTTGTTTTCATTTCTAGGGTTTCCCTCAATGGCATTTTCTTTTCAGAAGTCTATATGAGATTATATAGAGATCCGGATGTTGTGAAAGCTGTGATCTTTAATAGGTTTAGTGTCCATTCATTCGCTTCAATTAGTATAACTCATGTTTGACTCGGGTCCTTCATGCTACATTTACCCATTGCAACATATTTTGATTTCATTAGGTAATTTGGTTGCTCAGATGACATCATTACCTTCATCATCACTTTGAATCTCGATGGTTTTAGTGGCTTTCTGTGGTGTATTGTATTAGTGTCTGAATGTGATTTTGTTGGTGCTTGTCTGTGTTGTATGTGAAATAGTATGTCAATATGTTTACAAAGGGAAATTAATTTGTTACAATCGCCATTCGTTAGTGTTTCTTCTCCTGCTCTTTTTTTTCGTCATCTAATTCTTTCTTTCTCCAGCACGTCAACTTTTATTTTAACTAATTACTTTTGGCGACAAACTTTTGCAGGTGCTCTTGAAAAAGGAGGTGTTGGAGCCCTTGAACTTGTTGCCATGGATATGAAAGCGAGGTTGCAAAGGATAAAATATTCCTTTATATGATATTTGAAATTTGATAATAGGATGTATTGTAATATATCATATCCTTTTCTATTTCAGGGGAATGTACGTATGTCGTACACTTAGCTACAAAGGGTCAGAGTTCGAAGTTGTTGAAGCACCATTAGAACCTGAAATGATGGTAAATTGCACTTATTTGGCCTACTTTGTGAGGGAAAAATTTAAAAATAGAGCCCTATTGGAAAAATTTTGGCGGTACAGGATTTTTTTACTTTTATTTTTGGTCGTAATAAATGGACAAGAGAAGAGGGAGAAAAGATAAAGAGGAGATGACTCTAGGTCTAAGTGGCAGTGATTTATTGTTGTAATACTGACGCTTGCAGTCAACACTAAGGGTTGACTAAGCTGAATTGCGAGACTATGGTAACTAAAGTGTATGCTTTTTTCCAATAGTACTTAAAAGGATAATTACCTTTGTGATATGTGACAAGTATATTATTGTTGTTTTCTAATAACGTATAACACAATTATTGACTTGTTTCATAATGACCACATCAGATAAAACCAACACATGATGAGTAAGATGTGAGCCACACCTTTCAAGACTTTTTATTCTTTTTTGTCCTCTTTGGTTTTGGTTTAAAATTATAGAATGTTGAAAACATTGGCTTTTAATTCAAAAGAAAAAGTACATAATTCAAATACATGTACTTCTCTATGTGTATGTGTATATGTATATGTATTGGCCATTTCATAACACAGTTTCCGGTAACTGAGATCTCTTCTATTATCTCCTTAAAATTGCTTTTTTCTTTTACTAATCTCTCTTGGCGCTTATAAAAATCTTTTGAAGTTTGGGACGTTTTCATTTCATCCTAGACTTGCGTTCTTTCTGTTTTTGGCAGCTGAAAGTTGCTACATAAATTTTTAAAGACATATACACTTCTGGAGGGCTGATTAGTTGTTTGGTGCATAGTCTTTCTATGTTGGAGACAGTTATATTAGTTTGTTATAAGTTGAATATGGTGATAAATCTTTGCTTGTATTTAACAGAGATGTGAAGTCTTTCTCGTTCGTCATTTGATATCTAAACTTAGACTAAGATTTTAGCTGACTTATATTACATAATTTCTTTGTAGGAAATGTACAAAAAAGCAGCAGAATTTTGGGCAGAGTTGCGTGTGGAATTACTAACAGCTAGTTCTTTTCTTACTAACGAGAAACCTAATTGTAGTCAACTATGGAGATTATATTGGGCAAGTCATCAGGTAAATATTTAGCTTAATTTTTACTTGGGTTGTCTCTTTCAATTTTGTCTACTTTTTTGCTATCCTTTTTATTTGTTTGTCCCCAATTCTTTTGTAGCGTTTCTTTAGACATATGTGTATGTCAGCTAAGGTGCCTGCTGCTGTAAGGCTGGCTAAGAAAGCATTGCAGGAAGATAAGTGTGTGGTTATTGGTCTTCAGAGTACTGGAGAGGCACGTACCGAGGAAGCAATTACCAAATATGTGGGTAGATTTTGTTTTGTGTTATTCGGCATATGAAAGCCCTATTCAAAATTAAGTACTAGAGTTATTTATTTGTTTATTTATTTTTTCCCATTTATTGTGACATATGAATTGTTTGCTGAATAGGGGCTTGAACTTGATGATTTTATATCTGGGCCTCGAGAGCTGCTGCTGAAATTTGTCGAAGAAAATTACCCTTTGCCCGAAAAACCCGAACCTCTCCAAGGTTTCTATGTGGTTCCTACTATGTTTTTGAACCAGTTAACTTTCCTATAGAAACTGTATACAATATACATTTTTTTTGGAATCTTTTGTAGGAGAAGAAAGTGTAAAGGAGCTCCAGAGGAAGAGGCATTCGGCGACACCTGGGGTTTCAATGAAAGGGAGAGTGAGAAAAATTGCAAAGTGGAAACCTGATAGTGATGATGAAAGTGAATTTTCTGAGTGTGAGTTATTGAAAAACTCAACTGTTTTGTGGATATCATGGCTTTTCAGACCTCACACACAAACACACACACACACACACACACACACACACACACACACGAGAGAGAGAGTATAACATAAAACTCAAGTTTTTGCTACAGTGTTTTCTCTCACAAAAATTTAAATTCAATTTTTTCTGCTATGGTGTTTTCTCTCCCATGAATTTACTTGTAGAGGATTTGAGAGGAGAACAAGAACTCAACGAACTCAGTATTCAAATCAATCATTAACATTCTCATAAACACAAATTTCCTATTTATAGGAGCCAAATCCTGGAGAAAATATAATTCCTAATATTTTAAATAATCCTATGAGATGAATATAATCTCAGTAAAATCCTAAATAAAGATAAAATATATCCTAATAGATTACTAATCAAATATAATTTAAAAATGTAATCGTCTTCCATATCATTTTCTACGGGTTTTGAAAAACTGACTCAGACTAGTCTTAACCGAAAAGAATCATGAAGCAACAGATATTAAATTTTCTTCCGCATCAGCATTTTAATTTCATTGCACTACAAGTATTGAATCTTCAGAGCCTGATGATGAGTTTGTTTGATAATGCAGCTGATTCTGGTAATGAATCTAACGAATCCGATGACGAGTTTCAAATATGTGAGATTTGCAATTCTGAAGAGGTACATTCTTTTGGATCTGTTAAGCGTTTTTGGACCCTGCAGTTTAATTAATGATACAATCCTTTTCTGCAGGAAAGAAAGAAATTGCTCCAATGTTCTATCTGTGGTAAACTTGTCCATCCTGCGTGTCTTGTTCCCCCTATGGCAGATTTAGTCTCAGGAGATTGGTCATGTCATTCGTGCAAGGAAAAAACTGAGGAGTATCTTCAAGCAAGACATGCCTATATAACTCAAATGTTAAAGAGGTTCGTATTTTAAAAGTTCCACATTTTAGCGGTGTAGAGTATGTTGTGCTGTGCAGTCTTGTTGTATCATAATTTTAAGAGATTAATACATGGTTCTAGTATCATGTCAGGTATGAAGCGGCTTTGGAGCGTAAATTACATATATTGGAGTTAATTCGTTCGATGGGTCTTCCAAATAATCCTTTAGATGATATCATCGATCAGGTATTAACCAAATAACTTGATCTCTCTCCTTCTCTCTCTCAATTGATACCTTTTCTACCACAGTGCATACATTTTCTTTTTGGTAGTTTCCTATGCCAATCTTCAGAAATTCTCATTTCTTTTGAGCAATAACACCCAAATCAATCTAAAACAGCAGTATTCCTAATCATCTTCTTTCTTGGATTGTTTCCATAAGAAAATTCAATGAAAAAAGAAGAACTATTCTTTTATGGATTGGCCAAAAATTCCGAACTTATAATTTTAATAGCTAAATCGTTTCTTGATCAGTTTATCACAGAATTTTATTGAGTTACTGTATCAATTGTGACATTCCAGCCTCAGTTTGTATATTAGGCACAGTTTATTATGACACTATCATGCATTATATTGAACTTCTCCTTTGTGTTGCGACCAGCTTCATTGAGAATAACAGAATACCAGGTCTATATGTTATTTCTATCGAAGCTGGCGCCTTCGGGTCATGTCATAGGGTGCATTTGATAAGAGTTTTTGAACATTGATGAAACTGTTGATCATCTATTTTTGCAGTCCCTTTGCTCATAATATTTGGTGCTTGCTACTTAGGGAATTGGGGATTCGTGGGTATTTCCTATGAGCTGTAAAGAACTTTTTGAATCTCATTTCTGGTATGGACCCGGAGAGAGACGAAAACATTTGGGGTTTGTAGCAGTCTTGTGGGGGATTTGGTTGAAGAGAAATTGAAGAATTTTTTGGAGCGTGAGGAGCAGAGCACTGTTGTACGGGATACAATTAAATTTTGGGTTGCTTTATGGGTTCACGGAGAAAAAGGATTTTTGTAGTTTGCTTTTCTCCGACCTGTTAGAGACTCGGGCTCTATTTTGTGCTAGTTTTTTGTTTGTACCAGGACAGCTCATCCTCTTTTTTATTTTTTATTTTATTATTATTATTTTTTTGTACATAGTTTTTATTTTCAATACAATTTTGTTTCTTAAAAAAAAAGAAAAATAATGATGGGTAAAAAGCACAATTATTGGAATTAATATGAAGGATATTGTGGTCCAGGATTTAGCCTTGGATGTTGGGTGTGAGGTGTGGAAGGGGCCGTTAAAGTTAAAGTATTTGGGTCTACCTTGGGAAGAAATCCACTCATTGGAATTCTGGACACTGGTGATTGGAAGGGTGTCTTAGAGACATGATGGACGGAAGAAAGCTTCATGACTCTCATTCACTTTGTCTTGGCTACCATTCTGACTCACTGTATGTCCATTTTAGGTTACCTTGTTCTGTGGCTGTGATTTTTCAAAGATGATGAGAGAGTTCCTTTCGAATAATCACCAGTGGAAATAGTTGGGTAGCTTAGTTGCATGGAATAGAATGATAGTGATAAGCCTCCCGTGCGTTATACTTATGTTAGGAGGAGGTGCAAGGGCTTATCGGATGGTAGGATGATGGATGGGGCTGAGTCAGCAAGTGAAGGGAGGGAGAAAGAGGCTGAGTCAGCAATCAATTAGTTAGTTAGTTAGTTAGTTAGTTAGACTTGTAGGATGAAGGATAGTGTGTATAAATAAGTCAGGGGTAGAGTAAGGAGGTTACGAGAAATTACTAGACTTTCAGAAGAAGTTTGTAGGAGAGCACGGGATCTCTCGAAAATCCCCATACCCTTGTTGTAACCAATTCGTCCGCCATTGTTGATTCCTTAGTTCCATTAATACAAATTCCTTTTCAATAGCCTAATCGATTGTCAAATTGGTTTGGAGTTTATCATTTGGTGTCAGAGCGTAAGGTCTGGGAATGACGAGGCGCACCGACGATCGTGAGAAGGAGAAGACGGAAGGAACTCGGGAGGAATTCCAGAAAGAAATTGACGGAATTCGAGAGGATTTGAAGAAGATACCTAGACTTGAGCAAGGAATGGAGATGTTGCTCGAGAGGCTGGACAAGTTGATGAGGCGGAGGGAATCGGTCGATCAGGAACCACTGTGGCCCGCGGAAGGTTCGGCCGCGGTACCACCGGCGCCGAGGGAGGAATTACACCGGGAAGTTGGAGCTCGCGCAGAATTCAGAACGCGACGAGTGGAAATGCCAGTTTTTGATGGAGACAACCCTGACGGTTGGATCTTTCGTGCCGAGAGATTCTTTGCCATGAATCGGATGACGGAAAGAGAGAAATTGGACGCCGCGGTGGTGAGTCTGGAGGGAGAAGCCTTGGCGTGGTTTCAGTGGGAGGATGGTCGTCGGCCGATTCGTAGTTGGATGGTGATTAAACTAATGATCTTGGAACGTTTCCGTCCTACGCAGGAGGGAAGTTTGTGTGAGAAGTTTTTGTCGCTCTGACAGGAGACGACGGTGAGGGAATACCGGCGGTAGTTCGAAGTGTTGGCGGCGCCTCTATCGGAGCTCTCGGAGCAGGTTATGGAGAGCACATTTGTAAAGGGGCTGAAACCAAACATTAGGGCTGAAATCAGGCTGATGAAACCGGTGGGATTGGGCCAAATTATGGTGGTAGCCTAGCGGGTGGAGGAGCGTAACCAGACTGTATGCGGGCCAAGAGTTCCAGGCCCACAAAGCTCACAAAATATGCCCGGGAATAGAAACGGAAGTGGGTATTCGACATTCTCAAGGCAAAGGGGAGGCCAAAGCAGCTCTGGAGTGGGAGCTGGAAACACGAGAGTGGCGGTGGAGAGGAACCCCGCCGCGTCGGAGAAGAGGATGGGACTTGGTGTCGGTGGCGGCGCGACGACTTTTCGCCGTTTAACTGACGCAGAACTGCAGGCGAAGAGGAAAAAGGGCCTATGCTACCGCTGTGATGGAAAATACACTTTTGGCCATCGATGTCCCAACCGGGAATTGCAAGTTCTGATAGTTAGGGAGGAAGAAGAAGAGGACCGTGAGATGGGAACTGTGGAGATAGACGAGGAAGGGAACGAGCAATCGTGGGAAGAGGAGGTCGTGGAGTTGTCACTCAACTCGGTGGTTGGTCTCACTGCTCCGAAGACGATGAAACTCAGAGGTGTCGTAAGGGGAATCGAGGTAATTGTCTTGATCGATAGTGGGGCTACCCATAATTTCATTTCTTGTAATTTGGTGAAGAAATTAGGGCTCTCTGTAGACCAAACGACTGGTTACGGGGTAGTCATGGGGACAGGGGTCTCGGTAAAAGGTGAGGGAGTTTGCAAGGGGGTGATGATTTCCTTGCAAGGGGTTGAGGTGATGGAGGATTTCTTACCTTTAGACTTGGGTAGCTCAGATATAATATTAGGAATTCAGTGGTTGGAAACGTTGGGGGTTGTCATGGTGAATTGGAAGTTGTTGCTTATGAAATTTAATGTGGGAGGACGGCAGGGTGCAACAATTTTTTCTAAGATTGATCTTAAGTCGGGGTACCATCAAATTCGGGTTCGAACGGAGGATGTGCCGAAGACGGCGTTCCGCACCCATGAAGGACATTATGAGTTTTTCGTTATGCCTTTCGGCTTAACGAATGCCTCGACTACCTTCCAATCGCTCATGAATGAGGTTTTACGCGCTTTTCTTCACAAGTTTGTGCTAGTATTTTTCGATGACATACTTATTTACATCCACACGTTGGAAGAACATGAGCACCATCTTGCACAAGTATTGGAAGAGTTGCAGCGCCACCAATTGTTTGCCAATGGGAAAAAGTGTAGCTTTGGTCAACGTTCAATAGAATACCTTGGACACATTGTGTCCGACCAAGGGGTATCAGCGGATCCTGCCAAGGTTTCAGCCATGTTGAAATGGCCACTTCCTGCTAACTTGCGGGAATTAAGAGGCTTCTTGGGGTTGACTGGTTATTATAGGAAATTTGTGGCGGGGTATAGTCAAATTGCTGGTCCTCTAACCAACTTATTGCGGAAGGACTGTTTCCAGTGGGACGCAGGGGCAGCCCAAGCATTTGACCAACTCAAGCATGCTATGACACAGGTGCCGGTCTTGGCCTTGCCAGATTTTACTAAGCCTTTTGTACTGGAATCGGACGCATCCAGTTTCGGAGTGGGGGCGGTTTTGATGCAAGACCAGTGGCCTATAGCATTTTTCAGCCAGGTTTTGTCAACCCAAGCTCGAAATAAATCGGTGTATGAACGTGAGTTGATGGCCTATTGTTTTAGCTGTCCAAAAGTGGCGGCCATATCTCTTAGGACATCATTTTGCCATCCGGACCGATCAAAGAAGCCTTAAATATTTACTAGAGCAACGCGTAGTGAATGTGGAATATCAGAAGTGACTCACTAAACTACTGGGGTACGATTTTGAGATTCAGTACCGCCCGGGGGTTGAAAATCGTGCGGCGGATGCTTTGTCCCGACACCAAGCCGACTCAGCAAATATGCTCACTTCATTGGCCTTAGGCACCCATTTTCCGCAGAGACGGTGGCACACAAGTCCGTTCAAGAAGTGGTTCGTCTTCATGGCGTACCCCGCACGATTGTGTCGGACCGGGACCGTATTTTCCTTTGTCACTTTTGGACAGAGCTTCATAAACAGATGGGCACCATTCACTCTCGCAGTACCGCATATCATCCCTAATTTGATGGACAGACGAAGGTAGTCAATCGATGTGTTGAAACGTATCTACGTTGTTTTACTTTTGACAAGCCTGGGAGGTGGCACAAGTGGATGGCATGGGCGGAATATTGGTATAACACTTATTTCCACACTTCCATTCGAATGACACCATTCCAAGCCGTGTATGGTCGAGCTCCCCCTCCGTTGCTACGTTATGGGGTAGGGGCATCGCTTGTGGACTCCGTGGAACGGCAGTTGATGGACCACGATGCGATGTTGGACCTCCTCAAGTTCCACCTTCTGCGTGCCCAGCAGAAAATGAAGGCTGTGGCTGACAGCAAGCGGCAGGAGGTTTAGTTTGAGGTGGGCGACTTGGTTTACCTCAAGCTTCGACCTTACCGCCAAGTGTCGTTGGCACGGCGGCGCAATGAGAAGTTAAGTCCTCGTTTCTATGGCCCTTATGAAGTCACCCACCGCGTTGGCCCCGTGGCATACCGGTTAGCTTTGCCCAGTGACGCTGCTATACATCCTGTCTTCCACGTTTCGCAATTGTGCCGGGCAGTCGGCCAGGACCAGGTTGTTTCTCCGTTGCATCTGCAGCTGTCACGTGACTTGGAGTTCCAGGTCGCACCAGAGGCAGTGCTCGGGGTGCTCCAGAAGCTTCATGGTGGTAGTATGGAAATGGAGGTGCTAATTCGTTGGGCGGGGCTGCCGGAGCATGATGCTTCCTGGGAACCGTTTGACGTTGTGGCTGTCCAGTTTCCCTATTTTCACCTTGAGGACAAGGTGCGTCTTTGGGGCGGGGGTAATGATAAGCCTCTCGTGCGTTATACTTATGTTAGGAGGAGGCGCAAGGGCTTATCGGATGGAAGGATGATGGATGGGGCTGAGTCAGGCAAGTGAAGGGAGGGAGAAAGAGGCTGAGTCAGCAATCAATTAGTTAGTTAGTTAGTTAGTTAGTTAGACTTGTGGGATGAAGGATAGTGTGTATAAATAAGTCAGGGGTAGAGTAAGGAGGTTACGAGAAATTACTAGACTTTCAGAAGAAGTTTGTAGGAGAGCACGGGATCTCTCGAAAATCCCCATACCCTTGTTGAAATTACTAGACTTTCAGAAGAAGTTTGTAGGAGAGCACGGGATCTCTCGAAAATCCCCATACCCTTGTTGTAACCATGATTCCTTAGTTCCATTAATACAAATTCCTTTTCAATAGCCTAATCGATTGTCAAATTGGTTTGGAGTTTATCAGATAAAAAGCCAGAAGAAAGAAGGTAGGGAATGGGAATGGGAAATTTGAAGATGAAGAATGTGGCACTTAGTACATCTTAAATTTTTGAACTGCTACTTAGTATTATCTAGGATCACCACTTTGTGTAAGTTACCTGGCTGTCTGCATCTTTAATTTTTCAACTGCATTATTTACCCGGATTACCTTTACTTGTCAACCTTAGTATTTATTGTTTATGAATTATACAACCGCTCGTCCCCTTTTGTATTTGCTTCTTTTTCATAATTAATACAAGTTGCCTGTTTCTTATTAAAAAAAAAAATACAGCCATTAATAACTTCTTTTACTGCAATTTATCAACTTTTATTCTGTTGGCCAATTTTAAGTGTTTTTTATGTTTTATTGTTGCTTACTATGCCTTTTGACCACATGTCTAATTATGTCCTTGGCAGCTGGGCGGCCCTGATAAAGTGGCTGAAATGACTGGTAGGCGTGGAATGCTTGTAAGGGCCTCTAATGGAAAAGGTGTAACTTATCAGCAACGAAACACGTGAGTTACAGAATAAGTTGCCTCTCCTGTGTATTTCAGTTCTTCTCAACAAGTCTGAGTAACTATTTGCTTTATTACTTTAGGAAGGATGTTACCATGGAGATGGTCAACATGCATGAGAAGCAGCTTTTCATGGATGGTAAGAAGTTGGTTGCTGTAATTTCTGAAGCAGGATCAGCTGGTGTTTCTTTGCAAGCAGATAGAAGAGCAGCAAATCAAGTATGTCAGATATTATAGAACTTCTATCTTTCATTTCTTGCTGCTTAGTCATCCTGGAATGTTTCCATTACAGTTCAGATATGCACTCATTCCCTATTTGTTTTTTTCTCGTTATCTTCATTTATTATTTTTATAACAGAGAAGAAGGGTCCATTTGACATTAGAACTTCCATGGAGTGCAGACCGTGCAATTCAACAGTTTGGAAGAACTCATCGCTCGAATCAAGCATCTGCACCTGAATACAGGTGACTAGAGTATATGTTTAATCAGATTTGTTTTGTTCTTTCTAAGTTATTATTACTTTATTAGAATAATTAAAAGAAAACAAGTCCCCCACTTATTCCAAGGAAAAGAATTTGCAGGACAGGTGGAGGGTTGGGGGGTCTGTTAATTGGTTTAGATGTAGTGCAAAAGTTTCCTAATCATTAGGTGGAAATTAAGCATCAAATCATATCTTGCTGCTTTATAATAGTCTGTGTGTCCATTTGACCACTAAATGCCCTTTGAGCGAAAAGCTATATTTGAATGGTCCTCCTTTGTTAATTATTAAGTGGTATATGCTGTAACAGATGCAGCAATAGCGACTTTCAAAATTGTTTGTGGATGAGTTCCTATAAATTAATCTATCCCTTTATTTACTATGCAGACTACTTTTTACTAATCTTGGTGGAGAACGACGCTTTGCATCGATTGTTGCCAAGAGATTAGAGTCTCTCGGAGCCCTAACACAGGGAGATCGCAGGTTAAATTTAGATCTGTTTTTGGTATTTTTCGTTCTCATTGAGCTACAGGAGTATGACTTGTAAAATTGTCTTCATTGAGTAGTCAGCTATATTCTTTCTCACTAGATGGTCGGATGAACTGCAGGGCAGGACTGTCTTTAAAAGAATACAATTATGATAGTGCTTACGGAAAGAGGGCACTGGTGATGATGTATAAAGGAATTATGGAGCAGGTTTATATAAACTCTTCTGGAAGAGGATATCTCTGTCACCTGGTAGATTAAGTAATGAGCTAATTGTTTTGAAGAATAACTAATTCTCAGTTTTCAGGATGTTCTGCCTGTTGTACCTCCTGGATGCTCATCCGAAAAGCCGGAAACAATCAAAGATTTTATTGCAAAGGCACAGGCTGCTCTGGTTGCAGTAGGAATACTTAGGGACAGTGTTGTTGGTACTTATTTGGAGAATAATTCTGTTAATATTTGAGTAAACGTAGCTGCAAATATATCAATGTTTGTTGATATCCTTTTCTGTGAAATATATCACCCTGCACTGCTGTTTTAATCCCTTATTTCTTTTCTCCTAAAATTGACCCAATAATGTAGTTTCGTCCCCTGTTTGATGCAGGTAAAGATTCCGGGAGGATAACTGGTCGAATTGTTGATTCTGACATGCATGATGTTGGTCGTTTTCTTAATCGCATATTGGGACTCGTGCCTGATATTCAAAATAGGTTTGTGACATGTGAGTTTGAGAGTAGTTCCTTATTGCAGTAGGAATCATGATTACAATGCTGAATATATATAATCCACAGGCTTTTCGAGTTATTTGTCAGCATCTTGGATCTTCTTGTTCATAATGCTCGGATTGAGGGGAATCTGGACTCTGGGATTGTTGATATGAAAGCTAACAGTGTGGAACTACAAGGAAAACCGAAGGTCAACTGTCTTCCTAAATCTGTTGCTTCTCTCTCTCTCTCTCTCTCTCTCTCTCTCTCTCAATAAAGAATACAACGAGAAAAGAGGATGACTTCTGGTTGACCAAAATAAGACACAGAAAATATAGAAGATAGAGATAAAAATTAAAGGAAAACGAAAAATTCGTATGGCATTTTGCTTTACTTTCAAAAAGAGGCTCTTTTTCAAAATAGGTTTTTTTTTTTTTAGTATGAAAATGAAAATGAGAATTTTTTGGGAATGGTGCTGAGGTTGTTTTTGAAATTGCTTTTGGTTATTTTTTTTAGAGCTTGTTTTGGGTATAAAAAAAAGTGAATTGCGTTTAGATATATATTAAAAAGCGTGTATTAAGTTATAACTTAGAAAATGATAATGAAAATAGGAAAACAACTGTCAGCCATTTTCTATTTTCTTAGCAAAAACCATTCTGTCATTTTTGTTTTCGTTCTTGTTTTCAAAGTATTTGCTAACCAAACACGGTTTAGAGACAATTTTCATTTTATTGCCTGAAAAGACATGTAAAAACGTTTTCAAAAACATATGAAACTGATTCCAAACAGCACCTAAGTTTTTTGTTCCCCCCCCCCCCCCCCCCAAATGAGATACTCGATTTCCTACACATCTTTACGTGGTTTACCTATCTCATTTTGTTACCTCGTAATTATGTAGCAGACTGTCCATGTTGATGAAATGTCTGGGGCTTCGACAGTGCTTTTCACTTTTACTTTGGATCGTGGGATCACGTGGGAGGTATATGTATATTTGTATTTTACTATCTGAATGACATGTGTTACTTGTTAAGTCAGCACACATATACTTACGAATTTACTGTAATAGTCTGCAAGTACCATTCTAGAAGAAAAACAAAAGGATGGGCTCAGTTCAAGCCATGATGGATTCTACGAATCAAAGAGGGAGTGGTTGGGAAGACGTCATTTCATTTTAGCATTTGAAAGGTGAAAGTTAGTTGCTTAGGCCTGATTTAATCTCTCTCTCTCTCTCTCTCTCTCTCATGTAAACTCTGAGCTCTGTTCTGTCCCTTTATTGTCCATGCATATAACTATTGTCATACATCATGTTTTTGAAGATGCATTTTGTGCTTCGAGTGGCATGGTCTACTCATTTCTCAATGATTTTCCTCTTAAATTACATTTCAGTTCTGCTCCTGGATTGTACAAGATAGTCCGTCCTGCTGTTGGAGAGTCACTAAGGTATAAAAATCTTGAATTTACTGGGCTCCATGATGCTGTATGATTATAGCCTGTATGTTGATCCTCTAGTTGCATTATGCAGGGAAATGCCTTTGGCAGAGCTGAAAAGCAAATACAGGAAAACTTCATCTCTAGAGAAGGCTCGCAGTGGCTGGGAAGCTGAATATGCCGCTTCGTCCAAACAGGTACGGTTCTCGATGACGTTAATTTAAAACGGGTCTGGCATTTTCCTTCTCTTTTTCTGGGAATGCTTTCTGCTACCTTTTAGACTAAATATTTGCTATAATTTATGGGTATGACCTGTGTGCTAAGCATGCACATCTTAGAGAGATTTTCTAGTTTACAAGATGTTGAAATTAAGTGTCTTAAATTTTATGTTCACTCGTTAATATTGTCCAAGATCTTAGTTAATGTTGTCCTGACCTCATTAACAGAATCGTCTAGTAGATTTTATTTCTGCAAGTGCTCCTGTTTGTAAGTCTTGTTGTTGTTATTTAAGAGTTTGTTCAACTTCTTTGTGCAGTGCATGCATGGTCCCAAATGTAAGCTTGGCAACTTCTGTACTGTTGGCAGAAGACAACAGGAAGTAAATGTTTTAGGTGGCCTCATACTTCCTGTCTGGGGCACCATCGAGAAGGCCCTTTCGAAGCAGGTAATTTGATTCCATAAGCTTTGCTTGAGATTTTATGTCTACTTGATGCTGTAATCTACGAGAGGAAAGTACAACTAGGTGTTATATATGTAGAACTTACTCAATAGGATGGGGCAAATTGTTAAAATGGACAAATTGTTAAAATGGACATTCTTCTCTTCTCACTCTCTTCATTTTTCCCCTTTTCTGTTATGGTTAAATGAACATTTGTTTATACGTACGAAAGGTCTGTCAATTATTTAAATTGGAGCAGTGTGCTTTTTCAACAATGGAAAAGATCCCATTATCTGTGCAGGGAAAGCGCCACTTTTGCTCGACTCTCTATTTTATTCTATTACTTTATTCGTGTTTTCATCTTCTTCTTTGGGCGTAGAATAAGGATAAGACGTTCAATTGTTATTACCACCCATCTCCATTTTGTGCTGTAGTGTGTTGCACCACACGATTAATTTTTTTTGGTACATGAATAGATTCTGCTTTCTTACCTTGTCAATTCTTTTTTTTTTTTCATTTTTTTTTTATTTTTTGCCTTTTAATTAATTTTCAACTGAAAGAATTGAATCTCATATGACATATATACATGATTGAGTTATTGATCGCGGCATTTTCTCGCGCCAATGGGAAATTAGGGTGACAAACATTGCTGTATGCTTGCTTCTCTTTATTGCGATTGTCTGCTTCAGTGTTGGTTTATTTTTTCTATTCCATACTTGTCAGTATTATGTTTCCAGTAATATCGAGTATAAGGAGTCTACTTCTATGGTACCTGGTTTTTGTTTATTTTTATCAGTTTTTTTAACTTAAAAGGGTGTTTGGTAATTGTCATTAACCTAGTAAATATCTTGATTGTTTCGACTTATTGGTGAAAAGATTGGTCCTTTTGTTGAGCACCCTCGTAGCACATATTGATGAAAAGTTTGGTCCCCTCGGCTCTAACTCGTCATATTGCTGTCATCTTTTACAGGCCCGCCACAGCCATAAGCGGCTTCGTGTTGTACGAATAGAAACTACTACAGATAACCAGCGAATTGTTGGACTATTTATCCCAAATTCAGCAGTTGAAACAGTGCTTCAAGGTCTCTCTCTCTCTCTCTCTCTCTCTGTTTCCTTGGTAATTTTATAGTACCATTGCTTGCATTACTTTTATTATGAGTAAGTAATTCTTATGTGAACGTGGATATTGCAGATCTAGCATGGGTTCAGGATATCGACGATTGACATGAAGAAGCTGTATTTTGATCAAGTGGGTAATTGGTTGTAGCTATCAGACAAGTAGCAAAGATTGCTCGTGGCAAAAAGAATTTTGCACCTGCTTATTGCTTCCAGACTATGTTAAATAAAAAATAAAAAAAAAGAAAAAGAAAAGAAAAGAACAATCCCATATCCACGCGAGAGAAGATTCTGCAACCCTCGATCGAATGCAACAACTGTGCAGCCATTCACTTCGATTTTTGTTTTATATTGGCTCCATTTTTTGGCCCTATAATTTTGTACAATATCAATGTTGTCATTGAATGCTAGACATTTCAGATTATTAGGCTTTGTATTTATACTTGAAAGTTAATCTACAACTAATTTTTGTATGAAACACTACAATTTATCGTTCAAATGATGGATGGAAATAGAAAAATTCCTTTTTGTCCAAAGTTTCCACTCTCCAAAATCCAAAAGATTACAGGCCACAAAAAGCACAAAAGCACATCTCCAAACCCATATACATAAAACCATCTTTATTCGTCTTTGCTGTAATCTTAAACAAAAGACAACTTTGAAGATCATATGATATGATCATCAGCACACAAAACCAGAATTAACATGATGGTCGCTGCAATAGAGGCCAGGCTGCTGAGTGAAGCCTTGGCTCTTGAGCACTCTCCTTGCCTTAACGACAAGCTCGTGGTTAGAAACATTGCCATCGGTTTCAGCAATGATGGTCTGGATTGCGTTGCTCAGAGCTCCGTAAGCCTCGTCGGTGTTCCCTCCTGGAGTTGCATCTGCAGATGTTTGGTCAGTCTGACAGCCGCTGATCAGGATCCCACCATCGGGCAGTTCCCGCTTGCTCGATCCAGCATACACCTCCTGCTTGCTGCCAACCTGAGTCTCCAATGCTGGCTTTGCATACTCTTCTTCATCGTTGTCTTCGAGCTTATGCTTGAGAAACTCCTGAGCCAGGCTCCCCACCATCCCAAAGAAACTGCCACCACCACCACCACTGTTGCCTCTATCATCATCGCCACCGTGCTTGAGCTTGTTTAGAATGACCTTCATGAACTTCTTAACCTTAGGGCTGGCATCTTCTCCAAAGACATCGAAGAGGGTGGGCCTTAGCTTCCCAACATCAATGTCATCTTTGCCAGTTTTCTGTTTCAACACTTCTATGAGAGTGGAGAGCGGCAGGGACCTGCTCTTGACCCTGATTGAGCCCTCCTCTCCATAAATCTCGGTCTCTCTAATGCTACCATCCTCTTCTTCTTCGTCATTGCCGTCATCATGGTTTCCACGACGAGTGTGGCGAAAGGCAGAAGGGATGTGGATTCCGCGAGATTCAATTGCGTCTTCAACTTTTCGATGCAGGAACTTCTTGAATCCAAAAGAGGATTCAGATTCATCGTCATCGCGCTTGGTGCTCTCGCCTATTTGTTCTTTGGCTTCGTCGATTAGGCCACCGCTGTGGCAGGAATCTGACACAATTGTTATCCTGCATCCTTCCGGAATTTGGTCCACAAAACCCCTGAAGTCGTCATCTGTTGATCAAATGCTTATTACAGATTATGAAGAAGAAAAATCCATGAAGAAACGAAAAAGAACGGAATTTTCACCAGTATTCATAAAGATTGACCTCCGGCGGAACCAACAACACATACAAGTATGTGTCAACATCACGATCATACAAAAAAAAAATTGCAGTCTGAAAACTAAAATCTGTTTGTCTCATAAATCTTTGGAGAAAATTCCATCTCAAAAGATCCGGTCATTTACCAAAAGACGTGAATTTTAATTTAAGGAATTCCTGATCTAAAATCCAAATGCAATTACCAATTTGCAATAATTGAATTCTGAGAATCACGAAATCAGAAATGAAGAATTGAATTCTGATCCAGATAAAAAAAAAGAAAAGAAAGGAAAAGAAAAGACCAGTGATGAGATTCATGTCGCAGGGGACGATGCACTCGTCGTAGCCAGTGTCGTCGTCCTCGCCGGTCTCGGCCGGAAGTCTGGTGCCATGGCCGCTGTAGTGGACGAAGAGGAAGTCCCCTGGCTCCGCCGACTGGATGAGAGCGGCGAGAGCCTGGCGGGTGTTCTTGCCGGTGGGCTGAGTGTAGGAGTCGTCGCTGTCGATGAGAACGGTGATGTCGTCTTCGGAGAAACCGAATCGCTCGATAAGGCAGTTGTACATCCTCTTGACGTCGTTGATGCATCCTCTCAGCTCCGCCTTCGTTCCCGGATAGTTGCATCCGATCAGCACCGCTTTCTTCCCCATCTCTCTCTAAAACTCTCCGACTGTTTGGCTGTGTTCTGTCGCGCTTTTGCCTCCGAAAAGGACACGCTTTGGTGTCTCGTAGTATATACTGTCTAATTTTTGTCTTTCTTAATCGTTGAAACTAAAAACAAATAAGTGAATATGTTAAGATTTGAGATGAATTAAAATTAATAAGTTAATAATTTATATAAATTAATAAATAAGTTAAATTATTATTTTTGTTTATAATTTGTTTAGTTATAAACCATAACTTGGTAAGTTATTCACAATTTTTATCTATAATTTATTTAGTTATGAAACATAACTTGATAAATTTATCTATAATTTATTTGATTATGAATTATAACTTAACAAATTATAACCTATTAATTTTTATAACTAAAAATTAACTTATATATTTTCTTAAAATTTTTATATTGACCTATTTTCTATTATTTAGAATGCAAAATTATGCAAAATGCATAGCCACAGGCAAAGGCAAATGATAGCGTAGAGGTCGGTTCGTGTCTCAAACGTCAAACGTGTTAGTTATATTGGATTGGATTCAAATCCAATCACTTTTTTTTTTTTTTTATATAGGCCCGTTTAATTCGTTAATTTGAGTTTTTAATTTAAGTTGAGATATGATTTTATGTGAGAACTTTTTACTGTAACAAAAAAGTTAAATGTGATTATTTATAAGAGCTTTTTATTATAACAAAATTCAAATTCTAAAATCAAATTAACGAAATGAACGGGGCCATAATTTCCCTGGTTATTCCTATAATTATAATTGAGACCATCTTATTACGGGGCACACAATAAAGGAGACTTTATAATTATAGTACCAACATCATAAAAGTATAATTGTGTAGTATGCTTTTTTCGCAGAGGGAAAAAAAAAAAGGTTATATTATGATAAAAGTATCGTTTACTTTATAGTCCTTTTTCTCTTTCTACCGATCCATTTGTTGCGTGTATATATATTGTCGGCAAAGGAAGGAAGATAATTTGTGGTCGGAATGTACAATTGATATCTTTTGAATTTTGCATAAAAAAAATAGAATTAATTAATTTGAAGACTTGGTTCTAGTGCTATCATGTGGATGTGATTGGTAATTACCAATATTGAGCTTTCGTCCGGCCTTGCATTTAATGGTTGGCTCCGCTGGATATTTTTATTTTTTATTTTTTATTTTTTGGACGACAGGCCGATGAGAAAAATTAGTGCTCATCATGACCATCGATTAGAGTTCCATTCTCTCTATTTAAAGTTTCAGTATATGCTTTAAAAAAAGTCTCAACTTATCAAAATATGTTGGTAATCATTAATTTTTTAGTTGCATGTATAATATAACGGTAATTTTATATTTAATTTAATTATAAAAATGATGTGTTTAAATTATTTCATCCCAAATACAAAAAGGAAAATAAAAAAAAATACTTCAATATCGTTCCCAATTTCAAAACTTATAACGAATGGATGTTTTGAATCTCTCTTTCTCTCTGGAAATTCTTTCGTTCTCCACTAATTTTTAAAAATCTTCAACAACTATTGGCCCGAGGTTCACAGAGTGCACCATAATGGTGGTTCAAAGAGGAAGTGAGAAACAAATGATCAAGAAAAATTCAAAGTTTGATCATTTTTTATATAAAAAAAAATTTAAGGTCTGAAAACTTAATACTTGGGAGAAGATTTCTTTTGCAACAAAACTCAAAAAAAGTTTAAACTAAAGTTACAACTTTATTCAAGTTCACGTTCTTTTAAGTTTCAACTTTATTCAACTTTACTCAACTTTATTCAAGTTACAACTTTAACTCAAGTTATCACTCAAATTCAACTCAAAAATTATACTCAAGTTATACTCTAAAAGAACAACCCCAGATATTTTAAGGGCCTGTTTAGTTCGCTGATTCGAGTTTTCAATTCGAGTTAAGAAGTGATTTTATGTGAGAGCTTTTTACTGTAGCAAAAAAATTAGATGTGATTGTTTGTGAGAGCTTTTTACTGTAGCAAAACTCAAATTCTAAACTCGAATCAGCGAAATGAACGGAGGTATCATTCATCTCACTGACTCGAGTTTTCAGTTTTAAATTTTTACAGTTAAAAAATTTTAAAAAATGTCACAATAATTTTTTCTGTTATAGTTAAAAACTCTCATAAAATATAATATCTTAACTCGAATCTGTAAAACGAACGAGATCTTAATTTCTTTTCTTACATAACCTTACTTTCGAAATAGATGTAAGCAATGATATATAACAAGAATTTTAGAAAGTTTAAACATTAAGCAGAAATAACAATATTGCTATAGGTACGTAATTAAGAATGAAATTTACTTCCAATAGTAGGCGATTTTCAACTTCATCAATACCACCACAAAATTCTCAAACGCTACAATTACGTCTGTTGAATGTTAAGACGAATTGTTTGATGCTGACGTGAAAGCTGATGTGGCAGCTTTATTACAAGTGGATGATATGGAAATTCTTTCTCTGATTAACTTTAATTAATCGGTTAAACATTTACTCCTCAGTAATGCTGTAATATAAATAAACAGAATATATAGAGTTTGTTAGGAGAGAGATTCTTTTTTGCTTTTGTCGGTGCATAGAGAGAGAGAGAGAGAGAGAGAGAGAGAGAGTTAGGGGAAACAGGAGAGAGAATTAGGGAACAACAGGGTTGCGAGCGGAAAATTCATGAAGCTCTGGGATTGTTCTGATTTCTTGTATTGTTTCTTAACTCGGGAAGTCTTTCAAAAGAGCTTTTCTGTTTTTTCCTTTGGTTGATTCTCGGTTGGAGAGATCGACCACAAATTCTTGGTGTAATTCAATTTTTTGGTTGCTGTTAGGAATAGATCTTGGAGGTTGTTATAGAGTTGTGACTGCTCTGGTTTTACAACAACATCTTCTCATAAAAATGTTTATAATACCTAAAAAAAAAAAAAATCTATTGAAATAGCAAGGCTTTAAGTAAAAGGAAAAGAAAAAAAAAAACGATAAAGCTCAAACATAAGTCAATGAAACCTATATTAATTGAATTAGCTAGGGATTACCGTTAAGAAAAGGAATTAGCTAGCTAGGGATCAGAAGCCACCGCACTTATAGCATATATACATAGTTATGATTATGCATATATATAATTAAGAGGCAAGTTTTTCACGACAAGAATTGGATCTCCTCCCCATATACACAAGAAATAGACCAATTCACATGACTATTAATTAATAAGCCCAAGAGACCAATAATATGCAATATTATCCCCCTTAATCAGAATACAATATTAACCCGTAGCTGTATATAATCCCCCTCACAGAAACCAATAATATGCATGCAGTACTACCCTAAGAGACTGCGAGACTCCTTTAACTCTTTTGATCACTTTATTTATTTTAATATATATATATATATATATATATTTATATATATGCGTATGTATATGTGTGTGTGAGACCAACAAAACGACACATATAATTATAAATGGAGCCAAATGAAATCAAGCAGCATTGACAAAATTACAATTGACTCTGATCTCGCCTTTGTCAATAGGCCTCGTCTTGACCTGGACATTCCCAAGCTTCACCATTGACACCGCAAACTGGGTCTCAAAAAGCTGAGGCTGAGAAACCAAAGCCGACACAAAAGGAGACGTTCTTTCATCCGAAAACAGCAGCTGATCGGTTGACAACAAACCCTTTTTGCTCGCAAGATTCGTGTAGTACATTGTATCGAAAGCCTTGGGAGTAGTAACGTCCAGATCCACCAAGTTATGCGGCGATGATCTGCACTTGTTCCTTAAGAGGTTCAAGTAGGTGACGTTAAGCGAGCGATCAGGACTTTTTCCTAGCCTGTGCTGCAACGAAAAGCAAGAGCTTCTTCCAATGGTGTGTGAGCCCGAGAGGACGACCAAGTCGAGCATGTTGAGGCCGCGCAACTTGAAGAAATCGATGAGTCCGGTGACGTTTTCGCGGCCGTGAGGAACGGCGTCGGCCTCCTTGGCCATGGAGATTCTGCCGTCTTTGCGGCCGAATGGGACTTCCCAGAACGGGCCTCCCGCGAAGATGGTGGCGTCCCTTGCGGCGGCGGTTAGGATGTCGGCGCATGAGACGGTCTTCGGACATGTCTTTTCGAGGACGGATTTGATGTCGTCTATTACTCGGAAGCCTCTTAGGGTTTTGCTAGCCTGAGCTCTCCTCTCGCTGCCTCTGTGGTTCAGCAGAACTGACGCATCACAACCCTGCAATATATGTTGGTAAGCACATATATATCATGTATGTTTTTGTTGCATTGCATGTAAAATGATATATTGAATGTCACTTCCTAAGGAATAACTAATATAAGTGGAAAAGAGTTTTTAATTATGACCCGTTTAGTTCGTTGATTCGAGTTTTTAATTCGAGTTGAGATGTGATTTTATGTGAGAGTTTTTTATTGTAATAAAAAAGTTAGATGTGACTGTTTCTGAGAGCTTTTTACTGTAACAAAACTCAAATTCTAAACTCGAATCAGTGAAATGAACGGGATTGTAAATTCCAACGATAAAAAGTCAAAGGGATGTTGAGCAAGACTTTGAGATAGTTTTTCTTATCCTTTTTAAGTGACAAGAATTGATTCTCGCTCGCTTTATATCCTTAAATTAATTACTATTTGATCATCATGTACTAACGTACAATTCAAGATTTATATGTAATGGATATACGAAATGACGGACACAAAATAATCTCTCAGTTTTGGTTAATAGCTTTATTTAAAGAAGGAAGTCGCTAAAAACTTCATCTTGAAGTCTAGAGTCCAAATATCTACAGTAGTAGCTTTAATTAATTAAAGAAGGAAGTCGCTAAAAACTTACCCTGACGGCGCAGTCGTGGAAATGCAAGCGAATGATGGCGGGAGCCAAGGTGGGATCCTGGTTGATCCAAGCTCTCATTCTTCGTTGGATGATGGCTTCAGCATCCGGGCATGTCTTTTCATAATGTGTCACGGACAAGAAAGCTTCAGGAGGCAAAGGCTTTGTGGATTTTTTCTGAGACTTTCGCGAAGCAGGAGCAGAGGCTTTGTTGTTTTGAGATTGATTAACGGCTGATACTACCAAATCATTAGAGACAAAAATCAACAAGAAAACTATAATTATGTGACACAACTTCATGATGAATATTTCTCTATTGCTAATTGGCCTTGTGCTAGGAAAATGTGTAGTATGTGTTATTTCTTTCTCATGACTTTAAATTTTTTGTTTTATAGCTTGACATATAGAGTCATGTAATGTTGGTTTTCTCGTAGAATACGTGAGAAGCACTATTTCTCAAAGAAAAGTGACATGCAAACCAATTATTAAAAAAAAAAAAAAAAAAGACATGCAAACATGTTTGATACATAGGAAGTGATCATATATTTTCAAGTCAAAGCATCGATGTATATAGAAACCAATATTTGTCAAGTAGTCTCTAGTAATAATATTTTATTTTATTTAATTTGATCGAATGATGGGTTTTATTGGGTGAAATAATCCCCTCTTGGAATACAACCGGGATCTCTAGCACAAATTATCTGGCCAAAATTCAACTTTTGGATGTTAATTTTTTCAGTAGATTGTAGATAATTGTCTTAGTTTAAGCTGAATTAGCTGGATACGATTCACGGCATTATTCCCAAATGAACCTTCATCACATTAATATATGACACGAAGGAGCTCTTAGCACTCTCACGATCTCTTATATATATATATATATATATATATTTGTGTGGTAAGACTATTAATATATGAAGAATATTTTAATTTCACAATCCGCGTGTTGAAAAGATCATATCATCAATTCAGGTTTTTTTTTTTCTTTTTTTTGAAGGTCATCAATTCAGTTACATATAACATCCAAGTACACATTATAGTATATTATTTTTTAATGCAAATGAGTTCCTTTTGAAGAAGTTTAAATTGCTTACTGAGTCACTCATTACAACATTTTTTTAATTATAATCATAATCCTCGAGGATTTTCCCTTGCCATTTTTTGTTTTTTTTTTAAAGTCCCTTCCAAATCAAAGATAAGGAAAAGTAAACTTATTATTATGCCCTTTTCTCAAGATATTAGACACATGATATATATATATATATGTCTATATATATATATATATAGATTAATAACTTCACACAAAACCTACGTTTTGGTTGAACTACACGTTTTGGTTTTGAGTTTCATTTTTTTTTGTTTTTGATCTTTTTTTTTTCTCTTGATGGTTTCTTTTGCCCCTTTGCATCTTCTCTTTTTCCTTTACCTTTTTCTCTAGAAGTTTTATACTTTCGTTCTTGCCCTTCTTTTTAACTATTTTTCTTTTATTTACCTAAATTATTTTTTTTGCCAGTAGATTAATAATCTGAGATGCTTGTGAAAAATTTTCATGCTTGTGAACATTGAGAAGGAAACCAATTTATAACCATTTAGAGGTGGTTATCAATTTTAGATTCAACCTTGTTGATGGATGTTTTTGTAGCAAGCCCATATAAGAGTCTAGGCCTAATAATTTTGTCCCATGACATGATTGGGCTCGATTTATAGACCTAAGCCTTACTCGAGAAACTTGTGTGGACAGTGGTTTGGTGGGCCTGGGTAGTCAAACGAGCCCTTTGTTTCTTAGTTTGATCCGATTTCAAGTCCCGCTTTAGGGGTTTAAAATAATTGGACTAAGGAATAAATGAGTGATGGAGAATCCATCCCTAAAAAAATCCCTTATTTGCCTTTTAGGAGTCTTAGAAACCCCTTCCTAAGCTTTTGGAGACTTGAAAGTCTGAGATTTAAGCCGTGGAACCTTCCCATCCAATGCTAGATAAGAAGTTTTTCTACTCTGAAGTGGGCCAAGGATTTGTCACCGTGGCGGCTATTGCTTTGGAGGTGTCACTATGGACACTTCTACGAAGGTGTCACTGTTGATGCCCTCACGAACATGCTTCCCATGCTTTAGAAGACTCCTTTGTGACTGAAGATACCTCCCCTGCTCTGAGAGACTCCTATATGTCTGAAGGTTCTTCCTATGCTCTATGGATATTAAATATGTTAGGTGCTCCAACAACGGCTGTTTGGTCAAAAATTGAAGGCGGCGCTCTTGAGCTGGTTTGAGATGGTGACTTATTTTTGTTGTAAATATTGCTAAAATGAGGAAAGAGTCATGATCATTCAGCTTAATAACACCCGACAAAGGCACGGAGAAGACCTCTTGGACTTCGTCTAGAGATTCCACGACCTCGCCCTTAACTGTTATGATGAAAGTGACGAAGGAGCGCTTGTTGACATTTGCATGAACAATATCATTCTGGAGTACCGGGTGCACTTGGAGAACATTATGATCAACCAATTTTCTCACCTTTTT